TTGGAAGACACTGACAAAGAGACAAGGTTAGCTAGATGCTACTTCTCTTCTCTGAGCTTGCAGGTTTTCACCCCAGCCTTCGAATCTCCAATCTTATTTATAAATAGAACAACAGAGATTTAGTTAAAGCTACCTTTAGTGGCAGCAACAGGGCCAGTGCCTGCAGGAACAGAATTCCCGTCAGACTGTGGCCTGGTGGCAGGCCACTACCAGAGAAGCAGGTCCTTAACTGCTGGCTAAAATAGCAGTAGACTAAGACATAGCCACTGTGCTGAAGTTAAACAGCAGCCTGCAGTTCCCAACTTCTACAAATAGCCACCATCCACAGAAACAATGACCAACTAAGTTAGGGATTATAATTCCTGGAAACATTTTTATTTTAGAAACAAATAAATGTATGTAATACATACTTTGTTCTTGTACTATACATGCTAAATATGGATACATATCTCTATACCTAAAATGTCTATAATGAATATAGACAATTATTTAAAAATTGTTGACATATATAAATGAATATTATCCTAAAGGACTTCATTTTTATATTCTACTTTGAATCTATACATATGTATATGCACATGTACACACACACACACACACACACACACACACACACACACACACACACACAGATTGATTTTTTTTGAGACAGGGTTTACATGGGCTAGCCTCAAACTCACAATTCTCCTGTCTCTATTTACTAGATGCTATGATTATAGGTACGTGTCATCACGCCAAGCTTCTATCTTACATTTTGACATCCATTTTTTCAAGATAGGGTTTTCTGTACAGACTTGGCTGTCCTGGAACTTGCTCTGTAGACCAGGGAGGTTGGCCTTAAACTCAGAGATCTGCCTGCCTCTGCCTCCCAAGTGCTGGGATTAGAGGCATTCGCCACCATCTCCCCGCCCAACATCAATTTCTAAACACAGCAGTTTATAGGTTAAGGATCCCTAATCCAAAAATATGAAATAAGAAACACTAAGAAATCTGAAACATTTTCAGTACCAAGGCAACATAACATGTGGGAAATTTTACACCTGACCACACGTGCTCGCTTTCAGTAAAAACATTTGTAAACTGAAGATATTATATTAAACTACTTTCAGACTCTGAGTGTAAGATATACAAAATTAATCAATTTTGCTTTTAGACTTGATTCCACTTATAAGCTATTTCACTGTGTATGTAAATATACAAAATTTTGAGAAAAAATTCAAATCTGTAACTCTTCAGTCATATTGCTTAGCTTGCATTTTCCAGAGTGCTGTGACCTCTGAAATGTTTGCTCACAGTTTTTGTCCAATTATCTTTGGCTCTTATTTATCAATTTTTCCTATTTTGGCTTATATTTTAAACATTGAATTAGAAATATTTTCTTACAATGCATCCATATTTTAAAACAAGAAACAATACTCCATGAATATGTACACTATTCATGTTTTAATGTACCAGTTAAAATGAATTTAAGTATAAAATTAAAAACAAATATTTTCCTAGCAAAATCATTAGATTTTATTATTAAAAACCTCTGTGAAGTCTTGCTTTTTAATTTAGATATTAAACCCATAGCCTTTATAAAAATAAATGTGGAAAGGAAAACTCTTATAAAACTTTCTTATAGATAGAACTATTCCCAACATGATGGTTCCCTACAGACTCATAATGTTAATTCTGATATACTACATTTCCATGAATATGTTTTGTTTGATCAATCTCACACTTAAAAATAACATTAAGATTTTTTTTTCCTATATAATCGTCTTGGTAATTGTCTTACTATTTATCAAGGAGAAACTAGATTACCATACCTCTTTCAGTCTCTTTCTGTCTGTCTGTCTGTCTGTCTGTCTCTCTCTCTCTCTCTCTCTCTCTCTCTCTCACACACACACACACTCTCTCCCTCTCTAAGTAATTTATTCTAACTTACATTAATTTGAAATATAAAGATGTGGGAAAATATTCGCACTAAATAATTGAAGTTTCTCATTCTGGTGTAGTAGTTCTCAATTTTGTTTTGTTTTTAGATTTTCTATTTCTTTGCTGAGATTTTTATTTATTTATTATTTTGAGATTTTTTTATTAAGAAATTTTCTATTCATTTTACATACCAACCACAGATCCCCCTCTCCTCCTGCTCCCCAGCCTTACCTTCCAACCCACCCCTTATTCCTACCTCCTCCAAGGCAAGGCCTCCCATGGGGAGTCAGCAGAGCCTGGTATATTCAGTTGAGGCGGGTTCAAGCCCCACCCCCCTGCACCAAGGCTGTGCAAGGTGTCCCACCATAGGCACCGGGCTCCAAAAAGCTGGCTCATGCACCATGGATAGATCCTGATCCCACTGCCAGGGGGCCCCCTAAACAGTTCAAGCTAAATAACTGTCTCGCCCGTCCAGGGGGCCTAGTCCAGTCCCATGGGGGCACCACAGCTATTGGTCCACAGTTCATGGATTTCCACTAGTGTGGCTGGCTATCTCTGTACATTTATCTTCCCATCATGATCTCGATGTCCCTTGCTCACAGAATCCCTCCTCTCTCTCATCAATTGGACTCCTGGAATTTGGTCTGGTGACCGGCCATCTACTGCTGAGATTTCTTAATCTATCACTGCAAATTTCTATTTCTGCAATTTTACTTATTTATTTTGAGTAAGATGTCATGTGTTTGCACATGTGTGTACATAGATATATTTGTCCCTATTCACATGCACACATGTGTAGAGGCCAGAGGAGAACATCAAATCTTTTCCTCTACTGCTCTCTTCCTTATTTCTGGTCTCTCAAGAAAGCAATGCTCCCCATTTTCTCAGATAGGGTAAAGGCTACAAACCCTGCCAATTTTCCTCTTCTCCCCTCTCCAGTATTGCTGTTGTAGTCATGCACAGCTATGCTCAGCTTTTTTTTTATCTCTGCTAGGGATCTGAATTTAGGTTCACATGCTTGCAAATCTTATCCATTGAATCATTTCCCCAGTCCCTATCACTTAAATTGTTTGAAGTTGTTCTTAATTGCTTACTGATTCATTTTGTTGTGTTTGTTTAAAAATCTTTGCCAAAAAGAAGGCAAAACAAACCAACTAACTAAACAAAAAAGGATAGCCAATTTATATCAACGAAGGAGTCATGTATAGCAAAAATATGTGCACTCAACATTACCACACCCAATATCATTAAATCAAAAACTACTGGTTATAAAGGCCCAGACTTCAAAACAACAATAATGGGTGACTTCAATAATATTTCATTCTCATCAATAACTAAATCATCCAGATAAAACAGATCAACAAAGAAACTTCAGAGTTAAACTATACTATAGATCAAATGGACTTAACAGACACCCACAAACTATTCTACCCCAAAGCTGCAAAGTATACATTTCTGAATTATTAGTGAGTCACTAAAGGAATCAGGAAGGAAATAAATTCTTAGCATCGAATAAGAATGAAAGCACAACATACTAGAACTTGAGGGAAACACAAAAAAAGCAGTTATAACAGGAAATTTTGTAGCCACAAATGCCTACATTAAAAAATTATAATAATAATAAAACTCAACATCTTAGAAAAGGTTATATCCAAATCAGCACAAAGAAACAAATGATGAATACCAGAGTTTAAATTCATGAAATGGAAAACTAAAAGAACAATACAAAGGATTAATGAAACAAAGAATGGGTTCTTTGAAATGGACAAAAAAAAATGACAAATGGTAATCCTTAGCAAAACTAATCAAAAGATCTGTCAATAAAATTAGAGATCAAAGGGGGATGTTACATTATAGCAGTTTTCAATGATAATTACTAGTGAATATTCTGAATTTATATTATAGAAAATTAGAAAAATCTAGATGCTATAAAATTACTCATCTTGAAATCTGTTTGTTTTTTTATTTGACATAGTGTTAGGGCTGAGTATGTAGCTCAGTGGCAGGGACTAGTCTAGCCTCTGCAAGGCGCTGGGTTTGGTCCCCAGCAACGTTATTCCTCCATCCCCAATCCCACCTCAATCCCATCTCAAAGTTGAATGTAGCTCTGCTGCTCTTATTCCTCTCAATACATGTATAGTGTCACAGATGAAAAATGTGCTCACGGGGGGTGGGGATTTAGCTCAGTGGTAGAGCGCTTGCCTAGCAAGCACAAGGCCCTGGGTTCGTTCCTCAGCTCTGGAAAAAAAAAAAAAAAAAAAAAAAAAAAAAGGGCTCACGGTTTTTTTTAAATCAACTTTGATACAATTTTAAGAGTCATCTGAGAAGAGGTAAAATAAAGGAATTGCGTCTACTAGATTGGCTTTAGGCAAATCTAAAGGAATTAGATTTGGGGAATTCTCTTGTTTAATAACTGATGTGGGAGGACCCAGTCTTCTGTGGGCAGTGCCATTTCTGACCAGGTGGTCCTGAGGTATGTGAGAAACCCATTGAGCAAGCCATGAGAAGCAAGCCAATAAGGAGCACACCTGCATGGTCTCTGCAATAGTTCCTGCCCTGACTTCCCTCAGTGATGGACAGTGCCATGGAAGGGCAAGCATTTAAAACAAACCCTTTCTTTCCCAAATTGCTTTTAGTTTGAAGTTCTATCATAGAAATAGAAAGCAAAGTAGGACAGGAAGTCAATGGCTATTTATACGAGGTACATCTTTTTCTTCTCAATCTCAGTTGCCCAGTCCCCTACTGGTACTTCCTGTAATTATCTGCTAAAAACAACAGGTTTTGGAGCTCCTTTTCCTCAGGCAGAAGTCCAAGGAAAGACAAGCAGTAGAACGCTTTTCTAGGGGAGTTAGTTTTCTCCTGTTGACTGGTTTACTATCCCTCCACATACATGTCATATTGTCTCCTGAGTGACTGCTTTCAGTCTCTTCTCATGACCAATGTTCATATACACAGAGTGTTTGTGGTAGAGGTTTAATAAAGAAAGGAAGAAGACAGATGGGAAAATCTATGGCAATATAAGGAAGTTCCCCCGAATGAATATAATTAATAATAAAAACTAAATTCATGTCTGAAAATACCTAAGATGTTTTCGAAGTTTCTCGATCTCCATATTTTGTTCAGTTACTGTTTTCAGGAAGTGTTGGTTAGTCTGCCATAAAAACAATCAAAAATATTCAGTATTAGAACATTTATGAACTGTATTTTCAAAGATGAGATAAAGCATATAAGCAAAAAACAAAACAAAAAATAAAGATTCTTGATAATTACGTTTTTTCAGGGAAAAATGTAACTTTGGGTCTTCCTTTCTTACCTTTACTTCCATAGATCCTGTTCCAACTACCTGAACCTGAATTCCTGTCTGAGGGCTTTCTCTGACTGATTTTTTACTCATCTACATGTGCAGGAAACTGAAAAACATTATAGATTTTGGAATGAATGTTGAATCTTCTACAACAGTCTAACAATATTGATGGAACTGAGATATAAGAAATGCAAATTCCTGCGTTCATGGGTAGGATAAATGTCTATCATTTATCATATGTCTATCACCGGGATTAAGCTCTAGAAACATGGCTAATTTAAATGGTTTATTTTTAAAAAAATGAAAATCACATGTATTAATTGGAGGAAGGCACATGCCACAGCACTTCAAGGTCAAAAGCTAACTTGTAGGATTCAGTTCTCTCCTGTCACATTGGTCTCAGGGATTAGACTCCGGTCTTCACTCTTGGCAATACTACCTTTTCCACTGAGTCATCTTTCTGGCCCAATTTATTTTATTTTAAAGACAACTGAAAAAAAAAAAAAAACTTGACAGAGTCTTGTTATATAGCTCAGACTGATCTCAAACTTTCCATCCTTCTGACTGCTTCCAGAGTGCTACGATTACAAGAATATTCATCTGTGCCCAGCTCATTTGCATTTTTGTGCTTTATTTTCATTATGTGTATTAATTGTATAAAGTAATGGGTTTCATTATGAAAAACTAAATGTATAAAAAGTGCTTCAATCAGATTTACCCCATATATTATAATTTTTTGTGGGAGCCCACAGAGGCTATCTAGTGAGACCTTACTCAGGGTCAGAGAATCTGAACTTGCTTTACTCAGCAGGGCTGCATAATGGGATGATTTGCCCATGGGCGTATTCACCAGGTGTTTGGAAGGGTCTACAATTGGCTGTATGGTGTGCTTTGATCTTGCAAGGGGGAGGTCTTTTGCCTCTCCCCTTGGCATATTAAAAAAGCCATTTTGAATACAGAACTGGGCTGTTGGGTATTGACCCATGCCTTCCTGAAGCTATCCTGTATTCTCTCTCCTCGTCGTCTAGGTCTATCTTTATAATATTTCCTAATTCCTCTCTCCTCCATCCAAGAACCCTTCGATAGGTGGGAGGAGGTCAGAGCTGGACTCCAGCAGACTCCCACAATTTCTTAGTCTGTTTTCTCCTTTCCTCTTTTACATCTCTATAATCCCTTTAAAAATTAAAATATGACATCATTTCCTCCCTCTCTCTCCCCTCCCATATTCTATCCTGTATAACCCTTTCAAATTCATGGTCTCTCATTCTTTATTATTATTATTGTTGTTGTTGTTGTTGTGTGTGTGTGTAAATGCAACCTACTGAGTTCATTTACTGTTGATATATATATATATATATATATATATATATATATATATATATATAAATTTTAGAAATGGCATTTATGATTGGATAACCATTTAGGGTACTCATCTCTGGGGAAGACAAATTCTTCTCTAAGCTCCTTTCAATCACCTGTAGCTATTCATCTAGGGGATATCTGTTAAGTCTATTTGGCCCCTTGTATAATTTCACTCTGAAGTTTGTGTTAACTTTTTCATCTGGATGATCTATCTACTGATATTGAGTGGGGTACTGACATTTCCCACTATTATTACATCCCTTGTTTCTGAAACTGGGTACACCAATATTTATTGCATACATATAAACGGCAGTTACATTTTCTTTATGGATTGTTCCCTTTGTCAATATGTAGAAATCTCCACCTCTTCAGATCAGTTTTGGCTTGAAGTCTACACTGCACATATGGGTTTTTGCTGTTGTTAATCCTAGAGGGTTGCTTTTTTTTTTTTTCCTGAGTTGAACATGCAGGATTCGTTCCTAATTCTTATTTGTTCATCTTTCCTTGTGAAAATTATTCTTAGGTCTCATGATTCTCTTTTCCTCATTTCTGCTTTGGGATAGTTTAAATATATTCCTTAGTGCTGCCTTAGTTGGCATGTGTTGCTTTCAGTTGTGTTCATCTTGGAAGGTCTTTATTTCTCCATTGATTTTAAATAACTATGTTGGATATGATAATCTTAGTTGGCAGTTATTTACTCTAAGAGACTGAAATAAATCATCCCATGTTTTCTTGGCTTAGAGTTTCTCCTGAGAAGAGAGGTCTGATGTAATTCTAATGAGTTTGTCTGTAGGAGCAACTTGGAATTTCACTCTTATAGCTTTCACTATTTTGTTTCTGTTCTGTACTCTTGGCATTTAACTATAATGTGACATGGAGATATTCTTTCTGGTCCGATTTGGAGTTCTTAATGGTTCCTATTCTTGGAATGCCATATCTTTTTGTAGATTTGGGAAATTTTTGGGTATAATGAACATGTTTCATACATCTCTGTTTGCTTTTTTAATCCCAGCTCCTTCTTTTTCCCTTAAAATTCTTCAGTTTTGCTAGTTATTGAAAACTGTGGTAGTTATTTTTTAAAAATTATCTCTAACTGCTACCAGGAATTAATTCTATAACTTACTTTCAATTCCTGATTCTGTATTTCAATTGATTTATTAAGATTTTTAATTCCTCTCTTTGAATTCTCTTATTCTTTCCTTTGATCTAAACTCCTCCAGTGAATTTGTCAGGTTAGTGTACAGTGCCCTTTAGTTTAATAATTTATATCCAGAATTAAAAAAAAATATGTTTTCTTTGTTCAAAGTTCATGTTTCATGAATTTTTTTCCTTGAGCTCAATGAGCATCTTAGTAAGAGTTACTTTTATATTCTCTATCTAATATATCTAGAGAGATATATATCTAAACCCCATCCCCTTACTTAGGACTGATTTCTGAAGATTTATGTGGCTACTTTGAAACATCTTTGTTTTTTCACCTTTTTTTTGGTGACTGTTTTGTTTTCTAGACATGAAAGAAATAGGAATCATCCTGGGTCTCAAAGACCAATGCCTTCCAAGAGAGGACCTCCACCAATCAGCTTGGGAGGTGTCCTGGACTATTTTCCACCCCCTAGAGAGTGTGGCAGCAATAGCATTTGTGTACTTGCTCTGAGATGAGGGGCAAGGCACTATGGCATGCATCAGTCTATGTCATAACCCTCCATTCCCAGACAGCTACACTGTGCTGGACAAAACACTAAGACTAACAAGACTAACACATTTCTGGGAAGCTCAAAGAAGATAAGGTGCTGGATGCAAAGATCTATTCTTTCCTGCAAGAGGAAGTCAGAGCTGAGCTTTCATTCATTAGCTGGTAATGAGTAAGGTGATGGACGGGGCCAATGACATTTACTAGTCCCAGCAGCACCACACTGTTCAGGAATTGCAAGAACTCTAAGACAAACAAGATGGATGGAAGTCAATCTTTTGAGACTGAGGCTCTAGATGTACACAACAATCTCTTATTTCCTCTGGAGGAAGCTGGGAGCTACAGAATCTTATTTTTGATTATATCATCCTATGGTGCTACACTGGGAACCATTCCTGTAATAAAAACCAAAACTAACCCATTAGTTTTACTGAGTCTGGTGACATCTTCTCCTGGGATGCAGGAACTTTTCAATGGGTTCTAGATTGCTGAATCAATGTTTTTGTGGGGGAAAGGAGTCAGTTCTTTTTACTCTGACACCTTCCTCAGGTTTCACTACAATAAACTTTCTTTACCCTACACTTATTACTTCACTGTGCATCTAGAGGAGCCTAGTAAATGATCTTTTTAAATGGGAACTGATCGTCTTTTATAGGGACTTTTGTTTTGATCTTGACTCAGATCTGCTCCTGCAACTAAGCTCTGAATGCTCTTTGATTTGTACACAATTGTTTCAAGACAGCCTTCTTGTTTAGTAGTTAATTGATACCTACTATATACATTAAGAAAACTGGGAGCTGGGCAGTAGTGGTACATGCCTTTAATCCCAGCACTCGGGAGGCAGAGGCAGGTGGATCTCTGTGAGTTCAAAGCCAGCCTGGTCTACAGAATGAGTTCAGGACAGGCTCCAAAGTTATACAGATAAACCCTGTCTTGAAAAAAACAACAAAACAAAACAAAACAAAACAAAACAGAAACTCCCAAAAAACAACAACAAAAAAACCCTGTATTTTTTGTCTGACACTATGAAGTTTTTCTTTGTATAAAGACAGGGTCTCTCTCATTATGTAGACAAGCATGGTTCTAAACTGAGAGAGAGCTGCCTTTCTTTGCATTTCTGGATTTAAATGCTGGAATTAAAGGTACCACCATGGTTTACTATATCCCATGAATACTCAAACATCCTTTTCCTATGACTTTCCTTAAAAATATTTAGGGGTTATTGAGACAATGAGGTGTCTGTAGTAGGAATCTTCTACAGTCCTGGGAGATATAGTGAAATGATAAATAATTGTTACATTAGGTTAAAGTACTAGTTTACATGTAGAAATAAATTATTAAAAGCCTCTCTTAATTACAGAACTCAGCAATCCTTTTGTCTGGGAGCATTTAACTCAAATTTTAAGACTCCTCAGAAATATATTGTAATAGAACCAAAAAACAAAAACCACACAAACAACTTATGATTAGAAATTCCAAATATTAGCCAGGTGTGGTGGCTCATGTCTACAATCCCAATACTAGGTAAAGGGAGGCAAGAGGACTGTCAGGAGATTGAAGCCAGCCTGCGTAAATGCAAGCTAGCTAGGCTACAGTATGAGCCGATGTCTTAAAATAACACAAACAAACAAAGGAGATCCTAAAAGTTAGCACAAGAGACATTTGAATAAAGGATAATAAAACAGTGCAATAAAATGGGATGACTTACTTTTGATGACATAACTCTACTCTTAAGCATAGATATTGTTTCGGTATAAGCAAGAATTAGCAGAGTAACCAGGGAAGAATGAAAAGCAAAGGGAGGGATCACCCAGAGTGCTATGATTCTATTACTCAACAATGAGTAAAAATAAAATTCCAAGATGGCAAGGAAAATAAGAGAATTAAAAGTGGAACTGAGAGGCTGAATTGTATTTGTTTTAGAAAAATGTAGGTGAATTTATATATATTAGGTTAATGTTGACAGTTAAATTTACAGATAGTTCTTAGTTTAATTTTTTTAAAAGAAGCAATTCATCCATTCAATAAAGAGTTATGTTATTTTTATTACATTTCTGGCTGTGGGTGATAAGAAACACTAAAAATTAGGTTATGTGCATTACATTCAAGAATTTGATGGTCTAGATCACTCAATTCTCAAGAGACCTTGTCAAATACCCTAAGAGAGTTTTCAGATTAGGATGTAATTCAAATACATGTTGGTTATATCTTCAAAGGGTACTGTAAAGTATGCTCAGTTACTGAATATGTAAGAAAATCAGAAAAGATATTGCCTATTTTTTTTTGGAACTGAGGATCGAACCCAGGGCCTTGCACTTGCTAGGCAAGTGCTCTACCACTGAGCTAAATCCCCAACCCTGCCTATATGTTTTAATAAATAAAACATGATTTTTGGCTTATTGTGAATAAGCATAAATAAATATAGTTACAGTTTCTAATTTATACAAATAAGGTACAGGAAATGTTTATTTCCACTTACCATTTCTTTTTTTTTTTTTTTCCACTTACCATTTCTATATTCTCATTAGCAACATGAAGTTTCTTGGTTAGTTGTTGAAAATTATTCAGCTGATCCTAATAGGAAAATAAGGTGAGTCCATAGTGTTTTGTTTAAATAAAACTACTACTTTAAATAAAACTAAAATCAGATTCAAAATCATATACTTAAATTTGTATGATATCAGCACTATATCTTCTATCGTCTAACTTAGTGTGAAATAAATAAGAAAAAACTTTCAATGATTGAAAATTTAAAAAGGAGGCAATGGTTATACTAATGATTTATGTTTTATGTAAAATCATTAGTACAAATTTATCCACTGGTAAATACTATTTTAAATATAAAAGACAAGCACTTACAAACATTTGTTAAGTGACTAGAAATTTCAAAAGCTAGAGAGTACAAGCATGACAATTGAAACCACACATTCAAACACATCCAAAATGGGTAAGATAAACTGTGCAAAGGAACCACTGTATTTATTTTGCAACGGGTGTAAAGCTCCTCAATTATAAATCATTTGATCAGGTCATATGGTCCATTTATGTATGTATGTATGTATGTATGTATGTATGTATGTATGTATGTTTTGGTTTTTCGAGACAGGGTTTCTCTGTGTAGCTTTGTGCCTTTCCTGGATCTCGCTCTGTAGCCCAGGCTGGCCTCAAACTCACAAAGATCCGGCTGCCTCTGCCTCCCAAGTGCTGGGATTAAAGGCTGCTGGGATTAAAGGCGTGAGCCACCACTGCCCGGCCATATAGACCTTTTAAACATTACCTACACAAATAACAAAGTTGGAACAGGTTGTTAAAATGTTAGATAACATGATTAATAGGCAACCAGTGAAATAGAGATTAAGTATTATTTGTAAAGTTATTTACAAAAAAAACCCACAAATGATATAACTACAGTAAAAGAATGATCTTATGTGAAAACAACACAATAATTTAAAAGCTTAGTTGTGGCCTTGAAGAATTTTATTAAAAGTGGTTTATATTAGATCTCAAAAGTACAAGTTCTATAGAACAGAACTTACTTCAAACCAGAGCATGAATACAAACTAAAAAGACACCTTGTAAATTACAGTATCATATAAATATCATTAGGATTATTCAGGCAGAAATTCACTATGATAAGAGTATTCACAAACTTGAACTTGGAGAAATAACAAATAAGAGTTAAGATAACCCACTTATTTAAACAGATACTTCTCAAGATCTACAGAAAATGCTCAGAACTGTAATCTGTCCACAGTACTCAAATGTACTTAGCAGTAAAAGAACCCACAGAAAAACAATGAAGGTAGATTTCCAAATAGGATAGGTGGTCTTTATGAAATAGTTTTGTTAATAGAGGAATAAAGAAAAATCTAGATGCTCAATGTAAAAACACTCTTGCTTTAGACAGAAAGACGTCCTCAATATCTAATAAAACTTCTTCCTATGATAAAAACTGTATTACAATTAATCTCTAGTCAACATACTGGACATCTATGTTAGTACTAGGTCACACTGAATAGTGTGAAACTGCTATCTGACAGTGTTGTCACTGTATCTGAGCAAGTGGCTCCATTCACCCTAACTCAATGAACAATTTTTGTTTTGTTTCAAGAAAGGTAGGAAATTAAGCAATTAAATCGAGATCAATTTATAAAAAAAAATCTTTTATTTCTTCCCCATACTAATACACCTTTTACTTCTAATCACATTAAAACGATAACATGCACAGAGGCAGTTCTTTAATTACTCATCTGTTTAAAAGATTCTGAGATATATTTATTGTTAAGTAATTAATTAAAAAAACGTGAGACTTAGGAATTTCTTTCCAAACCAGTTTTATTTTTCATGATTTTTATGATTTCTGACTGATATTTAAGAAAATCATGAAACCTAGGTTTACCTTTTGCTTTCGATTTTCAAATACATGAATCTGGGCTTCAGTCATATGTTCCTGGTAGAGTTTCTGTACACTTTCCAACTCCTGAGAAGCAGTCTGCCAGAGTTCGAGAGCCCAAGTTTTCTCCTATCAAACAAACAAAAATTGATAGTTTACATTAAAGTATCAGCAGGCTATTTAATGATAGTATAAATGGATCACAATCTTTTACAAATGTGTTTTTATAAAGTTACAAAGTAAAACTAGAATGTATATAAAGATGGTAGTCATGCATTTTTTAATGATGGGAACACTTTCAGAGAAATGTACTATTACGGAGTTTAACCATTCTGTGACCATAACAGATATACTTAGCACAAACTACAGTGACTAGTCATCACTAGGTGATTATATATGTAGTCCACCATTGACAGAAAGGGTGTTATGTGGCATGTGATTGTACTATAATAATAAAATGATTTTAAAATTTTAATAGTAATTTAGAGAACAAGTTTCAAAACTATATAATTTTCTTATTTTGAAATTTAGAGATTTAATAGCTAAAATTAATGTTATCAGCAATACATATTAAAAACTACTCTATTTGTTCTACAAAAAATTACAAATTAAGCCTTGACATTACTAAAAGAGAAAGTTCTGAGAAAGTTCAGTATGATTTTCTGATTGTAAAGAGTGCTAATTGTATAAAATTAGGAAAATATGGAAAACAGAAGCAATAAAGAACTACTTAGAACTTTAGGTATTAGCCCTGGTAATAAATACTACTAATATTTAGATATAATAATCTTTATAAATGTTGACTCTATTCATATCTACACATTTTTTATAAGTGTGCTTCTGGGATACAATTTTTTTAAGTTTTTCTTTTAGCAAAATTATAATCACATAATGTATTATGTGTTACAAGTGATGTAACACTATTTCACTTGGCATTTTATAGTGAGATTTTTTTTAATTCACCAATTAACTTTTTTAATACAGTCTCACCAAAGTATGGTAAGGGGGCTCAAGGTTTAAGACTTTCAGAAGATCTTGAGGTCAAAATTAGGCTCACAACAATATGAAGACATTTGCTATGTGCTCTAACCTGTCACAATGGAATTTTCTAAAATATATAATATGTCATTCCTGTGCTGAGGTCTGGTAGAAAGTATGCTTATATCACTATTCAAAAAGTAAAACCTGTTAATTTACAGTAGACTAAACATTGATAGATATAACTCACAAAAAGTACTTTAGGATACTATAAAAAGTAAGCGGTCTGGGTAGAGTATTAAAACCAAAAGGCTAAGAAATGCTAATTTAATTCACTGAGACCATAAAACAGCAAACAGCCTAGTGTCCTTGCCATGTTTTGACTAAGAATGGAAAACAAAACACAACATTTTCTCTTTGTTGTTAATGGAATGATAAATGTCCCCCGTGGGCACCTGTCTTTGGACTCTGGGTCCTCAGTTGGTGGTGCAGTTTAGGGAGGTCATAGAAACTTTAGGAGATGGGCCTTGTTAGAGGAAGTCATCACTGGGGGTGGGTTTTCAAAGTTTATATCTTTGTCCCACTTTCAGCTTGCTGTCTGATTCTGGTGTGTAGTTGAGATGAGATCTCTCAGCTTCCTGTTCCTGCTGCTGGTCCCATGGCTTCCCTGCCATTATGGAGTCTAATTCTCTAGAACCATAAGCCAAATAATCCCTTCTTCTTTAAGTTGTTTTTGGTCATTGCACTTGATTACAACAAGAGAAAAGTAACTCATACATTCTTTGTCTCTAAAGTCTAAGCTTTGGAATTCCAGGTGAAGGCTAGGGAATTACTTTTTGTATTCCTGAGTAGGTAGGGCTAAAAGACAGGCATTTTTGGTCTATACTGAGTATACTTTCAGAATATAGGATTTTAAGTTTCTATAAAATGATTACTAAAGTATAGCATGCACTCAAAAAATGTACAAATGACCCCCCACAATCCCTTGATACTGTCATAAACAGTTTCAAAGTTTTTTTCTTAACCCACAGAGCTACAAAGTAGAAGAGATACTCAAACTCATACAAGGCCTGAGATACAGGGATGTAAAATTATAAAGTGAAATAAAGTTCACTTATGTACAAATTCACAAAAAATATAACATTGAAAAATAAAATACACAGGACACACAATATCAGAAATTTCAAAAACTATGAAGGAAGAAAAAAAGCCAGAGGAAGTATAATTTTAGGAGGATAATGATGTTATAATCCTTGAAAATTGAAAATGGTATCAGAAAACACACAAAACAGATAAATTTAAGGAAATTAAATCACTGATTACTCTTTTCTTTAGAATTTTCTTTTAACATTAATTATTCTTAAAAGACAAAAATGTACAAATGTCATATGATTAAATTAAAATATATTTGAAGCTGTATTTGTAACAGTGAGGGTATTTATTACAAGTTTCAAGTCACAGAAAAATCAAGTGCTATAAGTTTTGTTAGTCTGTTCAATACCAAAAAGTCAGCCCAGAAATAATATATACAAGTGACATTATATAGACTGAACAGGTTATATTTAGAGTGTATATGTATATACATATATGCATGTAACAACAATTAATGAAAAAAGGTCATCAATTTGAAAGAGAGCAAGGAAGAGTATATTGGAGGGTTTGGAGTAGGAAAGGGAAGAGAAGGGAGAAATGATGTAATTATAATATCAAAAATAAAAAAGTCAAATAAAGATTTATACATATTTCTGAGGACTTTAAACTTAGTAAATACAAATAATATGTCACTTACTTGGTTGGCTAGTTGCAATTGTTCCTGAAGGTTCCTCACAGTCTCATCATCTGCACAGATGTCATTTCCTATCCCTGTGCCAAAGGGAAGGGCTTCCAATTGCTTTTCAACAGCATCTTTTAATTTATTGTGCAACCTTTGTGATAAGCAGTTAACATTATACTCATCTTAATAACAGTAAAATTACCACGGGGGGGGGGGGAGTGTCATTAAATCAACATGGGTCACGCATAATTCTTTGTACAAAATCATTTAAGTAGACTTCAAATTTAAGTAGACTTCAAATGGAAATAGAAGGGCTAACTATTAAATATTATGTGAATAAGAATATAAATATTTTCTTTCTCTTTTTTTATTATTTTTTTCAAGACAGGGTTCCTTTTTTAAATTTTGGCCAGGATGGTAAGAATGCAACTTAGTGTGGCCACTATTGAAGCTGAAAACAGAACTATTGTATGATCCACCTATACCACTCCTGGGGATATAGTTTGTTGGGATCTAAGTCAGCATATAGCAGATACACTTTTATACCATTTATACTGTGGCAATATTTACAACATCGAAGTTGTGGAACCAACCCATACATGTATCAGCAGATGACACAAAAACTGAATTTTACTCAGCTTCAAGGAACAAAATAGATGGACTCTGACCCACGATAATATTCCAGGTTAAATTTAGATTTTAAAGAAATACGTAAGGCATAAAAATAGGAGAGACTATTTGGGAAGAGGAAGGAATTGTGCGCTCCAATATTTGTGAATATTTGCTTTTACTGTTATTGTGAGCAAATACCTGACGAGAAGCAGTTAAAGGAGGAACGGTTTATTTTTCTGGTTCATGACATACAGACCATATTACAGTGGGGAAGGCATGGAGCAGGTGGGTCCATGGTAGTATAAGTATAAAGCTATGTACTCAACTCTAAGTAGATCAGAGAAAGCACAGAAATGGGAATGCCAACACTCATCTGGCTTTCTATCTTTCCCTCTTTATTCAGTCCAGAACTCATGAGGTGTTGCTGTGCACATTCAGTGTGTCCCTCTCTGGAGAAGCCTTCATATAAAATGCTCCTAAATCCAATCAAGTTGGGAAAGATCAACTATGAATGACTATTTTACTGCTTCACTTAACATTGACTCAAAAGATACACTGTTCTAGATTTCTGTTGCAGCTTAACAATGTCCTCAGGGAAGCAAAGGTCTTATCACCTTTTCTTTCTTAGTCTTGCTGAGTCTCTGAAATCTGAGCTCATGGTTAAACAGTTGTCTTTAAGTGTGTGTTCCCTGGTAAGTTAACCAAGTTCCATTGCACACACCCAAGAATCTTTGGGCAGCACAAACAGGTCTTGATTAGGGGGCAGGGGTGTGAAGTTGGGTAAGTAGAGAAAGGGGGTTGGATCTCAGGAGATCTGGGGGAGGAGATGAATATGATTAAAACACAATGCATAAAGTTCTCAAGGAATCCATTTTTAAAAATTTATTCCTTAAAATTACAAATAAGAAATCAAAAAAAAAAATTTTTTTTTTTGTTTTTTTTTTTGTTTTTCAAGACAGGGTTTCTCTGTGTAGCTTTGCGCCTGTCCTGGAACTCACTTGGTAGCCCCGGCTGGCCTCAAACTCACAGAGATCCGCCTGGCTCTGCCTCCCGAGTGCTGGGATTGAAGGTGTGCGCCACCACCGCCCGGCGAAATCAAAAAAATTTTGCAAAGCACCACAATAGACTTTGCTTACATTTTCATTTTACTAAGGGTTATAAGACTATCAAAGAAAAAAAAAAAGGCACTTGTATAGGCAACAAATGATGCCTTTCATACCCTTAATATGTAAACATAAAAAATGAAAACTATTTTCAACATGAACTAAGCTTTAAAGAAAAGACGTGAAAACAGGACAAAAGAGAGGTATTTTCACTTTTTGCTTAGCATCTTTCTTATAAAAATAATTTCATTATTTATAGTCAGTTCCTATATACTATATATCCCTACAAAAACATTAAAATGTTTCCAAAATCCAATACTGTGGCATTGTACACAACTGCATAACCCAAGCCACTGCTAATTTCCAGTATTTAGACCCAAACATGTATCATGTATACTTTTCTTAAAATATTTTCCTTGCTGGGAGGTGGTGGCACACGCCTTCAATCCCAGCACTCGGGAGGCAGAGCCAGGCGGATCTCTGTGAGTTTGAGGCCAGCCTGGGCTACAGAGTGAGATCTAGGACAGCCACCAAAACCACACAGAGAAACCCTGTCTCGACAAACCAAAAAAATTTTTTCCTCATAATTTATAAGTTATTTTTATTTGGCAACCACTAGCTATGATATGTAACAAAAGTTCATTTTTTTTTCTCTACAGATATAATTAGTAGAGTTCACTTTCAAACCTGGTAGCATTTTCAAAAGTGCCTTTAATAAACGGAGTCCATTTTTCCCATTTTCCAATCATAAAACCCAACTGTTACTATGGTTTGGATATGGCTTCTGTCAAATCTTATGTTGAATGTGATGCTTTTTGTAACATTATTTCAAGATGATAGAATCTACAGGGAGTGATTATATTTAAGGGAACTAGATTATCTTGAGAATGAACTAGGTCTTGTGACTAGGCCATGAAAGTGACTGTTATGAAGTATGCTGACCAACAAGTCCCTTCTAGTTTGCATTTCTCCACTATGATATGGTAGCATGAGACCCCGACCAGAAGCTGAATGATGTTAGTGCCATGTTCCTGGAACTCCAGAACTCTGACAGTTAAATAAACATCTTCTCTTTATGAGTTACTCAGCATAAGACATTTTTTTTTATAACAAAAAACTCACATTTAGATCATTACATTACTTTGAACTAAGTAGAAATTTTAAAGATGAGCTTTAAGATATCTGCATATGAAAGGAAGAATGTTGTAAACAAATATACAAAACAACCAAATGTTTATGATCTTTACACCATAAAATGTCTTGTCTTCTCAATACATTAAAAATCAAGCTCAACCTAAGTATATTGGTGATTGAAAAATCATTGTAATATTCTTTACTAGGATATTAAAAGTCTGTTTAACAATAACTATTTTGAGAAAGAACATTAAAGCAAAAAATAGATTTTAAAAACACAATGAATGGCCGGGCGGTGGTGGCGCACGCCTTTAATCCCAGCACTCGGGAGGCAGAGCCAGGCGGATCTCTGTGAGTTCGAGGCCAGCCTGGTCTCCAAAGCGAGTTCCAGGAAAGGCGCAAAGCTACACAGAGAAACCCTGTCTCGAAAAACCAAAAAAAAAAAAAACACAATGAATGAAAAATTTAAACCTAATTTAAAAAGGTACTCAATTGTAAAATTTAATAAAAATCCGTAGTATAAATATAAGAGGGTTCCAAAATTAGAAAGGAGAATAAAAACATTTTTTAAAGAGAGAAAATGATAACAAAGTTAAGATATAATTCCATAGAAACTTTATATAATTTTAAAGAACATGTGCTGGTTAGTTTTTTGTCAACTTGACAGAAGCTGAGGTCATCTGGGAAGAGGGAACCTCTATTGAGAAAGCCTCCCTCAGACTGGCCTGTAAGCAAGCCTGTGGGCAGCCAGGTGTACACAGTGCCACCCTGGCAGGTGGTCCTGGTTGTTTAAGATGGCCGACTGAACACATCCTGGGAGCATTCCTCCAGGGTCTCTGCTTCAGTCCCTACTCTAGGTTCCTGAACTACCTGATGCCTATCCTGCTTCCTTTAATGATGGGCTATGAGCTAAGTCAATTAACCCTCTCCTCCCCAAGTTGTTTTAGGTTATGGTGTTTATTACAGCAATAGAAAACAAACCAGAACAACATGAATTCATTTGAATACAAGTACATTAAAATGAATATAACAATAAAACATAAACTACTATACACTATGGAAGAATACAAACAGAAGAAAGTCAAACTTTAAGAGTCCATGCATTGAATGAATTTAGGACTTAAACATGCCTGCCGTCCCCACAACACAACAAAAGATATATCAAATTTCTACAGTTTCACATTTCTTAATGTTAAATTTTGGAAATTCATATATAAAATTTAAATAGTCTTGATGATCATGTTTTAAAATTCTATTTAAATGCTCAGAGAGGACACACTAGTGGAGAGACAAAATAATCATAGTGGGGGACTGTACTAACTTAAAATTTAAAGAAGAAAATAGAAAATTATTTCATTAAATACATCACAATCTGGGAATGGATATTTGAAATACCTATTATCTAGAATTTGCAATGGACAATCAGCACTCTTATTTATATTACACATATCTGTATCTATACAGTACCTGAGAGTCTAAAACTATATATGCAAGATAGCCTCAAAGATGGTGCAGAAAAGATTAAAATTTTACGAAAGGAGGCAATTAAAAGAGATGGACATATCTTATTAAGAAAAATAAATAAAGAAAAAAATGAGAAATGAGATGAATAAACATTTCATGAGAAAAGTATATGAAAAATGGCCAAATATATTAGTATTTAGAAAATGTAAATTAAGATCACAAGGAGAAATTACTTAACAGTAAAAATAATAGTATTTAAGAACTTTAATTAGAGCTATTGCTGGAAAATATAGATCAATATGAATTAAAAAATACCACTGGTGAGAATATAAACCAGCTGATACAGACAAGTTATAAATTGACATTAAATTACAAACCTATAACCTAGCAATTTCAAATCTTGAAATTTCCATACCTGTGCATGATAGTGAAAAGATAACTCAAAATACCAGACATGATTTTTATAATTAAAAAATGCAAACCTAAACAATATATTACTAAGCAGAATTCAACATAGTGTCTACTTTTAGTAGAGGGAATGAGGACAGTAATTAGAAGGAAACCATGGGTAGAGGCATCAAAGTTGGCAATGTTTTTAGCTTTTAAGCTTGTTGTTTGTTTATATTTAATCAGTATGTTTCCTGCTACTCATATTTTTATACTACCTTACTGTGTTATAATAGTTATAAAGTATTTATGTGCCCTATTTCAAGCTATTACTTTCTTTTTTTTTTCTTTTTTGGTTTTCGAGACAGGGTTTCTCCGTGTAGTTTTGGTGCCTGTCCTGGATCTCGCTCTGTAGACCAGACAGGCCTCAAACCCACAGAGATCCACCTGGTTCTGCCTCCCGAGTACTGGGATTAAAGGCATGCGCCACCACTGCCCGGCTTATTACTTTTTTTTTTTTTTTTGTGGTTCAAAGGTCACATTTATTAGGAGATTAAGAGGTGCATTATCCACGGACTATAAATAGTGCCCAGCTGACTTTATTCACAGTCAAGGGGAAATGCAGCAGTGCCAACCTATTTTGTAGACACCCTTGTTCTTTTATTCCAAGAAAAGTTTGCAGCGTACGACTTGGACTTGGGTTTTGGAACCTTCTTCTCTTCCACATCACAGCTCCACCCACTTTTTTCTGCAAAGGCAATTGCATCTTCTTTGGTACTAAAGGTTAGAACCGTGTTGGAGAGGGGATCAGCCGTTGATGCCCAACCCATCAAAGGATTTTCCCATCTCTCTCTGGTATCAAACTCCATCTTCCATTTCTTTGTGTTGTTTACTCCAGATTGCATGTTGTTGCGAGCAGGAACAAAGATCCTGACCTTTCTGGTTTTGATGTGCTCTTCTGGAACACCAGTTAAAGTAGTGATACCCAGTTTTTCATCAACTGTTATGAGCTGTGTGTCCTGAGGCTGGTCCTGCGCCAGCTTCCACGTGGATGTGCTCAACAACCTGGATGGAACTCCAGAGACGGAACGGCAGCTGTAGCCACTGCCCTTCTCCCCAACAATGCCTGTCTCAGCGCCACTGACATTGAGACCGCCGCCATCTTGCTGCGGGCAAACGCCCCGGCTTATTACTTTATTTCTTACAGTCAGCCCATGAAAAAAACGTTCTTCTGTCACAGTCTATTCAACAAAAACCTCAGTATGAAGCATGAGAATCTTCCTTTTGAGACCTTGGTCAGGGAGTTCAAAGGACATCCCATCCCAACAGCATAGGCTATTGGTGCTGTCCTTTAGTTTTCTCCCAGAATTGGGAGTTAAGTATCTACTGCTGAAAACAATACACATTTTGGACACACGACACGAAGGATTTGAGCTAGACTGAACTGGAAGTACTGAGAGGTGCTATGTAGGCTACCAAGGGGAGGAGGAATCAAGAGTCCTATCCAGCTGCAGTACCTATAAAACACAACAATGACCAGTATAACATAGCCCGAAGGGTAAAATAGTAGCACTTCTATCTTGTGAGTAACCAAAAGATATCTAATTGGACGTAGGACCTGCTCTATAGGAGGAAAGATTCAGACATACATAGTACTATAAACCGAGTCAACTATCTAAGACTGGTGAGGCCAGGCAACCTAGAGAATCCATTACTGTCTCTTTCCTAAAGCAGTCTAATCTCTAACTACATTCTAAATACTCATCCTTTCACCCACAGATAAATGTAGATCTCAGCTTTCATCAAAGTTTCTCTTTGCAGCAGATAGAGATTACTATAGAAAGCTACAACAGGTCAAAATGCAGAAAACTGACTGTGAGGTGTCCAGCCATGTTCTACAACACTACCCCTATATCTTGAGACTAAGGAACAGAAAGGAAGAGGAAGCAGAAAGATTTAAGAGCCAAAGGACCAGGACACCTGCTAAGAGACTGTGTCTTCTATATAGGTCAGGAAGCTACTACACTAATGAAGTCTCAACAACACGGTAACCTAAACAAAGATCTGAACAATGACACCAGTTGACATGATGATATGAATAGGGAAAAATCTTACAAGGCTTCCTTCACCCCTTTCTGTTTATTTAGCATATCCTTTAGAGTTCTGTTTGATCTTTCTATAACTGCTTGGCCTGTAGGATTATGTGGTATACCTGTAATATGCTTTATATTGTAATAAGCAACAAACTGTTTCATTTTAACAGAGACATATGCTGGAGCACTGTCAGTTTTAATTTGTGCAGGTATACCCATGATGGCCATAACTTCTAGCAAATGAGTGATTACAGAATCAGCTTTTTCAGAACTCAAAGCAGTTGCCCATTGAAATCCTGAATAAGTATCCATGGTATGGTGTACATATTTCAATTTTCCAAATTCTGCAAAGTGAAACACATTCATCTGCCAGATTTCATTCCTCTGAGTACCCTTTGGGTTACATACTTTGCTTGGCAAAATGGTCCTTCAGGTTCCTGCTTTGCAGAGGAAACTGCCAGACATTCTACAGGACATAGAGAGAAATGACTGAGAGACTCTAGGCCTGTGGGCTGAAGACAGATGCCCCAACTTTATAGAGCAACTTTGGATGACTGTCCAGGCTGCCAGCTCTTTCTGTCTACTCTTGCAAGACTCTCAAAAGTTGTCTGCATCCTTCTCCTGTTACTCAGGTAATATTATAACCTTCTGGAGTCTTTGATGTAGCTGAAGACTAGATAGTTATAATTTTCTTTAGTTATGATAAAAGATAAGTTAGAAGAAAAAAAAAGATAAGTTAGATATGAAACCTTAGACTCAAAATTATAAGATATATAGGATATCTTCTTTAATTTTGCCAAATACAAATAGACTAGATATCATAAATAGACTAGATATTGTAACTGTAATTCTTGCTTTTGATAACTGTTTTGTTATATGTAATTTTACTATGTGAAAGTTAAAACCTTCCTTTTGGAAAAAAAAAAAGGGGAAGTGCTGTGGATATCACTCTGTGTAAATAAAATGCTGATTGGCCAGTAGCCCGGCAGGAAGTATAAGCAGGACAAGCAGAGAGGAGAATTCTGGGAACAAGAAGGCTGAATCAGAGAGAAGCTGCCAGTCACTGCCAAGAAAAGCGAGATGTAAAATATCAGTAAGCCACGAGCCACGTGGCAACTTATAGACTAATAGATATGGGTTAATTTAAGATATAAGAACAGCTAGCAAGAAGCCTGAGCCATTAGGTCAAACAGTTTAAATAATATAAGCGTCTGTGTGTTTATGTTGTAAGTGGGCTGTTGGACTGCCAGGGCTTGGCGGGACCCGGAAAAAAAAACTCTAGCTACACTCTATGTATCAAAGAACAAAAATAAAAGTTACCTAAAGCAACAAAAGACCAACTGGCTGAGTTACCTTTCATTTTCAGTGATGACAGTTTCAAGGTGTAGTTTCATCTCACCCATGTGTTTCTACAAGAATAAAACACAGTGTAGTAATACATTCTCCAGACAATTAGATCTCCATTTAGTACTCAATTCACATGCAAGCCAGACAGACTTTTTGATATTTACAGATAAAATTTATTCATGACATTTAACAAGTATTATCACATGTAGATAGATTAACAATGTACCAAACATAATAAAACATTTAATTTGAATAGATTATAAATAAATAAAAACATTTTATGCAATAATTGAGAAATATTTAAAAATATATATCCAGGGAAACAAAAGAAGATATACTTCAGTATAATAAAAATACCAGTTGAGTTGCACATGGTGGCCTATGCCTTTAACACCAGCACTCGGGAGACAGAGGCAGGTACATATCTGTGAGTTGGAGGCAAGCCTGGTCTACAAAGTGAATTCCAAGACAGCCAGAGCCATTACACAGAGAAACCCTGCCTTGGAAAATCAAACAAACAAACAAACAAACAAACAAACAAAAACCCAGTTGATTGTTATACCTTGAAAATATAATGCTGTGAGATTTATTTCTGTATGCTGTGAATATGTGTGGCTCCCATTGGATAATAAATAAAGCTGTTTTGGCCTATAGCAAGAAAGCTTAAAGCCAGGAGGGAAATCCAAGCAGAGATACAGAGAGAAGAACCGAGTCAAGAGAGACATCAGCTGCCGCAAAAGGAGCAACAAGATGCTGGTAGACCGGCAATGCCATGGCCACGTGGCAACATATAGAATAGGAATGGGTTAATTTAAGATCAAAGAGCTAGCTAGCAAGAAGCTGAAACCATAGACCATACAGTCTGTAATTAATATAAGCCTCTGATTACTTTGTAAGCGGCTGTGGGACTGTGGATGGAAGAGATTTGTCAGGACCCACAGCCGGCTGGGACCAGAGAAACTTCCAGCTACAATATATCTTGATTAATGTATCTATTTAGGGGAAGCCCATATCAGTATGTAGATTCTCTCCTACTTCAAGAGGTAAAATGGGAATGCTGAAAGAGAAAATTAAGGTCTTTTTTAGCAACTATTCACTCTCTACCTCACCATCCTTAGTAATTATCTGAACCTGTTCTAAACAAGGTTTCTATGGTAAACAGACATGGTCACTGACATATTTTGCAGGCTAGATGACTTAAAAACCCACTAGCTAAAATGCAATGAAGATTACAATCCATACTGTAATGAGAATGAAAGTTTCACTGGTTTTCTCTGAGATAATAAAGAGATTATTAGTATTTCAAAGGGAAAGGAATAGGGAATTTAATAAAAAGAAATGGCAAAATAAGGAGTCAGTTTTCAAAAAGAGCTAGTCATGGAAACATGTTTAAAACAAAGGTATACTCAGCTCAAAATACATCCATCAGTCCTGATTGTGCACTCAAGGGTAAAGGAGATGAGCCAAGCCTGGAGCAGACCTGGCAAGAGATGTGTGAACAGGCAGCTCTCCAAGTCTGTCTTTCTCCTACTCAGAGAGGCTCAAAGCAGCTTGGCTTAAGAAATCACTAACCACCTTTTAATATGAACTTGGCATCAAAGTTGAATTTTTCCCAAGTTCCAGCTAGGCCAGAATTTCAGTTAAACTAAAATGAATTAATGTACTACCAGATAACTGACTATTGATCACATTTGCAAAAATACTCTAACTTGAAAAGTATCTAATACTGTAAATGATTATATAGAATATATATGTATGTATATATATATACATATATACACATTACATAAGTCACATTAAGGACTTTACTATAAAATATTTGAAAATAATTATTTGAAGGAAAGAAAATCTACATAGTACTTATTATATCATCAAAATTTTCCTATTATACTTTTTTTGGGGGTGGTGGTGGCTATCTTTATACATAGAATTAAAGCCTGCTTTTCCTACTTTGAAGGTATATTATTTCTTGGTCATGTCTGTAATTCTTTTCTCTTTCTTTTTTTGGTTTTTTCGAGACAGGGTTTCCCTGCGTAGCTTTGCGCTTTTCCTGGAACTTGCTTTGTAGACCAGGCTGGCCTCGAACTCACAGAGATCCACCTGCCTCTGCCTCCCGAGTGCTGGGATTAAGGGCGTGCGCCAACACTGCCCGGCTCTTTTCTCTTTCAATGTGTTAGATTTTGTTTGTTTGTTTGTTTATATATTTATTTATTTAGAAAGTCTGTCTATGTAGTCCTGGCTGTCCTGAAACTATATGTCACTAAGGCTGGCCTCAAACTCACCACAGAAATCCACCTGCCTCTGTCTCTTGAGTGCTGGAACTAAAGAAACTTACCATTATGCCCAAGTACATCTGTAATTCTTAAAACTAGCTTTACTTATTAATTATATCTATGTGAGCATAGATATGCTATTCTTAGAAGTAGATATCAACATGCTTTTTTTCCTCTCTAAAAAATATAGCACTATTACTCTCATTGAAGACTCTTGGGCTTTCTTGTGTAGCTTCCTTCTATAACAAAGTCAGTAATCACCCATAGGTGGTAAGAACACCAAATGAGAAACTTAAGTCAAGCACTTCAGAAAACAGCTCATTATAGAGACCCAGGAGTCATAGAGGTTATAAGAGGTTTTAAGAGCATTTAATTTCCAGACAACTAATTGTTCTGGAACAACAGAAGTACACAATATATCATCATAGCAATTCAGAGTAAATTCAGTAGCAACTCTAGATTTGTTAGTTCTAAAACTAAAAGCAAAACACCATTTACACAAAAAGGACTTTTGTTGTTCTTTAATTGCCCATCTAAAGGAAAAAAGACATTGTTGTGGATATTTTAAGTCTAAATGGCCAAAGCCTAAAATTCTTTACACCATAAAGATTGGGAAATGAATTGACTTAAGAATTGTCTTAAGATAATACAGAATCTGGCTCTATACCTTCACTTAATTTATAAGTTTACAAAGGAATAAACTTGGAAGTGAAAAGTCTACATAAGTCTTTATGTAAAGAAAATATCTAGCTTTACTCTTAGGAGTTGGAAGCGTTGTGTTTTCTTAGTAAAGGTATTACTAATTAAATGTATTAATTAAATGTAAAAAAACAATTTAGCTCTAACTCTCTTGTTCCTATCAGCCCTGGGATTTACCAGATATTTAAAGGCCTATACTAAAGTTGATAATAAAATGCAATTTTATTTTGCATAGACTTATATTTTGAAAGCTTATGTTCAGAGGTGGGAACCTGAGAGGAGACTGCATTATAAGGGCTCAAACTTCATCAACAAATTAATCCATAGCTTAATGGACAATTCAGAGACACTGCTTATTTTGAACACACAGGTCACCAGGGGTATGCCTTCAAAGACATTTTGTCATAGCACCCCTCTTTCTTCTCTCTGCTTCCCAGGCACCATGAAGTGAGCAGCCCCTCACCATGTTCTCCAGCTACCATGATATTCTGTCCCTTCTCAGACCAAAGTAATAGAACCAGGTATCCTGGATTGAAACCATTTGCCAAAGTCCTCCTTTAAGCTGATTTTTCTCAGGTATTTTGTAAGAGAGATGGAGAGCCTTCAAAGCTTACTGTGTGCTACACTTTAAAGCACAGCACAGAATCTCTTCCTGTCCATGCATTAAGAGAAAAGACAATGGGCCTAGCATCTGCCAGTCCCACAGCAGCATTCTGAGAAAATCAGTCTCCAGGGGTTATTTTTATACAAAGTCATTATGCTTTCTCACATTTGCATCCAATTAACCCTGCTTTCTTTACCATTAGTGAATTGATTCAGGGTTTGGTATCTAAGCCAAATACAATCATTAGTATATTCAAGCTCTAACAAAGAGCAGCCATTGTCAGCTGGTGGGCTTAGCCTGAGACACAGAAGTTCTGATTAAGAAATACTTCTAAATATTTATCTGCCATTTGTATTTCTTTTGTTTGTGAATTGTCTGTTATTTGATTGGCAGCTTTGATTTTCATGTTTAATCTTTACAGTTCTTTATTCATTTAGAAGAAAGCAGCAGCAGCAGCACCTTTAGAGAAGACAGTGGGGAAAGCAACAACAGAAGTAGGGCAGAGGGCAGGTGGGAGAGGGAGTTAAGGAAAAGTGCAAGTACTCATGGAGGGGGAGCGAGGAGGGGTCAATAAAAACGAAGTGCGGAGGAAAACCCCACATGGAAACCTATTACTTTGTAAGCTAATTTTAAAAAGAAAGTCTTTTAAAAATAAAATACTTATACTGTTATCCTGGCATCAGAAAATTTGGGAGGAAAGGTAAAATACATTTATTTCAATTCAAAGAAATGAAATATGGGTAACTGAAATAATAATCCTATATTATGTTTTGTTTTACATGACCTTATCTCAGAAGCCCCGAGACAGACCTGCCTATAGACAGCTTCCCGAGTTTATTTCCATTATTCTTAAGATAAACTTCCACTAGTAATAGAAAAAAAAAACCTACTAGAACTGAAGACTATATTGGAAGTGGGCTAGTAATATCTTATCTAAAAGACATAACATAAAGGCATCTGACAGAAATAGATCTGAAAATGGGGGGAAACCATTCTGCAAATAGTGACAAATCTGGGTAGGATAAGGGTAAGGTATGAAAGGCTATGAGACTGTTCTGAGCACAGAGATACAAGCAAATAACAATGCAATTATGACACAGCCCCAAGCTTCTAAAAGATGCCTCTGCCAGAAAGCAAGGACAATGGAACACTGGATTTAAAAGAAAACTGAAGCTAATTTCTAAACATAACGTTTATAGATGAATGACACTTTCATATCTTCTTCTCAGAGTAAAACCATTCAAAAGCTTAGCAATTATGACTTTATACCTGGTAATAGGTCAGCTGTCTGCTTAGCTCTTCCAGATGTTTCTCATACTCAGCAATAAGAGGAGGTAAAGAACTAAAGGAAAATACAGAATTAAAAGATGGTGTATTCAGTCCCATTTACTTTAAGTATCTAACAAGTAAAACAAATCTCAAAATAAAAATTTGTGTTTAGTAGGAACCAACAGTTTGCTTTTCTATTAAACCCTTAAAAAAGTAGTATTTTGGACTGAAACCTCCTTGATTGTATGGAAGGGGCAGGAGGAGAAAAGGCTTGAGCACTGAAGGATGACAAACAGCTTCTCTGGCTTCCACCCAGTAATGTCTCACTTTCCACGGGGTTTACTTGTGTATATATATATATATTACCAAATACCCTGAAGAGCAGGCAAGATCATCCTCCATTATAATCCACTTTTACAGACTCCACCAATATTTTTATGAACAATAGAAGGTCATTAATGCTTCATTACAGTGGACCATAAAATAAACATCCCTAAACTAAAGGAACTCTTTCAATGATCAAGCATTTTAAAAAAATAATATGTATCTGATAATACTTTACCTTTGGTCATCTATTGAGTTTACTAGTACGTCACCTCTGCCTCCTTTGGACATGCTGTTCTATAACAGAAAATATGTTTTTAAAAATGTTTTCTCTATTTAAAAAAAAAGAAAAGAAAAGAGTGTTTTCTCATATTACTTTAGCTAAAATTGAAACAGGCTTAAAATTAAATGTCATTAAAATTTCTCAAAAAAAGGAGAAAAGAAAAACACTGAATTACATTTGGTAAATTTAACAATACAGGATAAAAACTGGCTAATTAGAACTCTACAGAATTTTCTATTTGATGAAATATCTACCAGCCATCAATACTCATTATCATTATTTGTGGTGAACAAGGAACACTTACATTAAGTTCAGTAACAATGCAAGGCTGCTTACTATCACTGTTAAAAGTTCTGGTCAACACGGTTGTAAGGAAGATTTAAAGGCCGAAGAACAACATGTGACACTATTAGTATGTACAGATAATTTAGTAATTTACCTAGAAACACCACATAATACAATAAATGTTAGGACAAATTGGAGAATACACTAAGTCCTAGAAAGAAGTTCCTTTGTTCTCACCCTCTTTTGCTTTCTTTGCTGTGATAGATGAGTTCTAAAAATAGCATGTTTTGATTCTCTTCTCTATCACTTGTGTATCTAAGTGCTTTGGCTTTGTATTGAGCATGAAGCATACATAAACATCTCAAACTTGTAATGAGGAAGCTGTTTATAACTGAACTTTTGGAATGATGTACAAAAACTTTATATTGCTATTCTCTCCCATACAATTAAAGTTTCCAAGTTACAAACTATTGTTTTTATGTATATTCTTCAGGAAATAATTGTAGTTAAAGTTGCTTTTAACATTTCTGCCTTTTAAGTTCTATACAAGAATTAAAGTGACCTAAATAGTACAGTGGCAATAACAGAATATTCTTGTAGGTAAGCTTTACTTTCATAGTTAACATGGTAACAATCAGTGTTATTTTATTTCAGCTTAATCAAAACTGTCTTTATAATTTGTTGCAGTTTTAGGGTTATGAAGTCTCTCAGCTATTCTTTATCTCTTTTATTTCTAATGGACAGTTTTGACAGGTAAATTCTTGACAGTTTTGTTGTGTACTTGAAATAAACCACCGCACTCTACCTGGTTGTGCGGCTTCTGCTAAAGAATTTACTGACAACCTTAGGAAGTTTAATTTGTATATAGTGAGTCATTTTCTAGTGCTACTGTTTTCAAAATTCTCTGAATACAAAATTTCTGAACACTCAATTATAATATGTCTTAGATAAGCCACTTTGGGGTTGAACCTATTTTGGAAACTTATGACCTTGGATATCTAGATTTATCTCAAGTTTTATTAAGTTTTCATTATTTCTTTAAGTAACTTGTGCAATTCTTTTTATCCTCCACCTGATACTTGAAGAAATTTGGACATTATTTTTCTTGGATATGTCCCATAAATGTTTTCTTCATTATTTTCTATTCCTCTGAAAAGATAATTTCAGATGTTTTCAAGTCTACAGAATACTTCTATTTCAAGCCTGATGTTGAGGATCTATTACATTTTAAAAATCTTATGTATTGTAGTTTTTACCTCTAAAACTTTCGGTTTGTCTTTTTATATTGTTACCTTTTGTTACACAGATCCTTTTTCTAAAATTACTGAGGTCCCTATTGGTATGTTCCTGTTGCTCACTGAGACCACTCACTACATTCTTATTCTCACCCACAGGAGGAATCATAGGCTGCCTTGAGGGAGGGCTAATGCGGTAAGGTGAAATAGTTTTTACTAGCGTAGATGCCGCTAATCTCCAATTTCATTTCATTTAGTTTTACTTTGTCTTACAGTGTGCTGTAACTTCTCTATCGAATTCTTGGGACTCTTAAAAGGGGACTTTTTAAAAAAGTCTCCAAAGTTTGTGCACCAAAAAGTGTCCAAATGGGGGATGGGTGACCATAGAGAGCCAGCAAAACACAAGACCACTAAGTTTCACACTGGAGAGGGAGACTAGAAGGAACACAGCACTCTCTGGCTCTCACACTCTGCTCAGCAGTAAAACAGTGTAGGGAGAGGAAGCTGAGGCAGAAGAGTAAACTGCTGAACCTGAGTTCAAGGCTCTCAGTACTGCTGGTAGCAAGCCAGAGGCAGCAGTCAGACAGTTCCAGAGGCCAAGTAACCTGAGATCCATGAGTTCTGTAATCCACTGGAGAGACTGGCTCCTTGCCAGGGGGCTGGGGGTTGTCATCCACTATGCCCTCCACAGCCTGCGCTCTGTGCTCCTTAAATTTCTTAGCACATCTATATCTACCTGCTCCCCAGGCCCCAGCCCCTGCTACTTCTCCTGCCTATCTTCTACCTGGCCCTATGTCCACAAGCTTCACAACTTATGACTGCTCCTTATTTTTGCATCTCTAGAATGCTCCATCTCAAACAAAAGCCTCTTCTCAACGTAGCACCTATCTAGAGTGTTCTTTGATATTAAGAGCAATGCAACTGCTCTCTTTTCCAATGCTAGGCTACCACACAGGAGGACTTACGGTTTTTAAGAACTGTGGGTTTCACCTGTGGAGAGGACTGCCAGGATGTCACTAGGACTTCCTGCATACTTTTTACTTGTAGCCCCAGTCCCTCTACCTTCACCACTGCACTTGTGGCTCCAGGGCTGAATCTGCAGACTGTGTTCTACTTTCCTCCATGCATTTTAGCTGTACAAGGATAACGAGTCTCCAAGGGATGAACTAAACATGGTAAAGATTTAGACATCACGGCTAGAAAGGAGCTCGACACCCATTTCATGTTACCACACCACCTCTGCTCTCACCACTGCGAAGTACACAGGGAAAATCAAGACAATTGTAATGGGGTCTGGAGATATGGAAGAGTACACAGGAGTTGGGAGACAGAACACATTCTGCCACGAAGATTAAGAAGAGGATTCAAGATGTATTATATGATTATCCAAACTGCACATGTAGAAAAGAACCTACACCTGCTAAGAATTAAAGCAGGTGCAGTTTGTAACAGTAAGGGAAGATGTGTCCCTGACTGCTTTGCTACCTTGAGGGTTCCAATAATTAAGATCACAATGCATAGCACAGAAACCTCTGATGGTTGTCTTGCATCCATGGCTGTGTCACGAGTAAAAACACGTCCATGATCAAGCAGCTATAGCTTGCAGCGGATGTGCTGCAAAAGCATCCAGAGAGCTTCTGGAGCTTCAAAAATCTGTCTTTTGCTGCTGTTACTGCTTAAACAAGCTTTCAGACCCATGCTATAATATATTTACCAGATTAAGTTCACCTTGTTGATAAAATCTAAAATTAAAGTAAAAAAGTAACACCTCAGGAAATAAACATTAAAAATCAATGCATATATTATTATCTGTGTTAGTTTATGTTTCAGTTACAATTTCTGGGTTTTTTTAATTGAGGAGATAGGAATCAAACTCAGGGCCTTACACATGCAGGACACTTAACCAACATTCCCAGCTTTTTCAATAATATCATAATTTGCAACAATTGAAATAGTTAGACAGCTAGCCACATTTCGAGAATGTTTAGTATGTTTCAGAGCTTGAATGAATTTCCATTTCAGACCTCAGTTACTTTAACATATATAACATTAGCTCCACAGATAGAAAAAAAATTAAGCAATTTCTATGGACAAAGAACTTACTTTCAGTTAGAAAATCAAATTTTCCCTTACAAGAATCAAAGCTATAAGCAAAATTTCAAAGATTATAGGCAACTTCAATGTGAATAATTCTAAGTGGAATTCATATTGAAGATTTGTATTGACTGTAATCAATAATTCATAAGGATGTAGAATATATTTACAACCAAATTTTAATCTAGTTTGTTACAAATTATTCCACATACCTGCATAGTTGGGTCTTTGAAAATATGTTCAATATGATGCTGCCTAAGAATATCATTTAGCTTATCATCTGAAAAAAGAAAACCAATTTCAGTAAGTCTATTTTGCAAAACTAGACAAACAGCAGCTACTATGTGTATCCAACGAAAGCTTTCTAGTCTCTAAGATTGCTTCTCATAAGATGAATCATCGATTTCAGCACATCATTTCGGAATGTAAAATTAGGTCTTTTTAATATTCATAAACCAAATAATGACTCCCAAATGGAATACAGAACAGCTACAAAGAACTAATCTTTTCTTTCATAAGTTTGAATTATCAGTCTTTTCTGGCAGAAGTGGAAACATTCTCCATTGTTTTTTGTTCCCACTTCTATACTAAAAAGGATTAGGAAGATACGAATCATATTCTTTCTTCTTTATTTCCTTTCTTTCTTGCTTTTTTGAAGATAGGGCTTCACTTGGGCTAATCTAGAACTCATATGTAGCCCAGGCTGGCCTGACATACTGAAATCTTCCTGTCTTTGCCTTCTGTGTGCTAGGACTACGAGCCACCACCACACCTAGCTGTGGACATTTAAAGTCAGTTGAAAAGATTATCCATTCTATACTGAAGAGAAATTGTAGGACACAGAATCCAATTTCAACAGGAATGTCATGAGATCATGAAAAAGATGGCCCAGAATAAAGCTGAGAGTTCTTACTAATATGCTATATCTGTGTTCACATCAGGAAAGAAACAGGGAAAGCAAGATGGCTCAGGAGATAAAGGTACTTGTCACCAAGCCAGACTACATGAATTCAATCTCTAGAATCAACAGGGTAGGACAGAGCCACTCCGTCATGTTGTACTCTGGCTTCTGTATGCACCTGCACACACACACACACACACAAACACACACACACACTCACACTTACACACAGACACATATGCACACATCCTCCGTGAATGCCAGCATTTGCAAAAATAAATGAAAATTTTAAGAGGGGCTAGAGAGATCACTCAGCAATTACAGCACTAGCTTGTTCTAGAAATCTGAATTCAATTCCCAGCACTCACACGGCAGCTCACAACTGTCTGCAACAGCAGTCTCAGGGAATCCAACACTCTTTTGGTCTCCACCAGCAATACACGCTTGTGATGCATAGATGTTGATACAGGCAAGTCACCTATATATATATACATATACATATATATATATATATATATATGTGTATATATATATTTTAATTAAAGAAAATTTAAAAATAAAAAAATTAAAAAGAAAAACATAAGATACTACCCAACAAATACACAATCTTTCAAGATTTACATGCAACAAAGCAAAGCTCAATAACTTTCAAAGAAATGGGAAAAAAACCCTCCATGTTATCTGATAAGAATACTAACTAAAGTCGGGCGGTGGTGTCACACACCTTTAATCCCAGCACTCGGGAGGCAGAGACAGGTGGATCTCTGTATGTTCAAGGCCAGCCTGGGCTACAGAGTGAGTTCCAGGACAGGCTCCAAAGCTACACAGAGAAACCTTGTCTCGAAAAACCAAAACCCAAACCAAACCAAAACAAAAATACTAGCTAGATTCACTAACGAAAATAGAAAAAAGAAGTCAATAGGAAGAGCCTACAGATATTTGAAAGTCAAAAAACCAAAACCAAAACCTGCTTTTACATAACCTTTGTGTCTCAGGGAAAAATTACAAAAATATGTATTCTGAATTAAACAGAAGTTTAAATGTGATGAATCATAACTTAATAGTAGAAAAGTTCTATATCTTTGATTTAGAATTAAATTGAATAGCCTTTGTTCTTCAGGTTTAGGAATCGTTTCATATTTTAAAAATATTTGATTAGATTTTATCTGTTGAACACTTCTAATCTGGAAACCCAAAACCCAAACTACCACAAAAATCTGTTATCATATTAGCACTCAAAGGTTCCAGATTTTAGAGCATTTTGGAATCTGGATTTTCTAATACAGGCACGCTCAATCTGTATTAGAAAAAAAAAGGGGGGGCTTAAAGAAACAAATCTATTGCAAAAGGTTAGAAAAAGAACAGCAAAATAAACTCAAAAAAGGCACATGAAGGAAGCAACAGAAATAAACCTGGTAAATAAACTCACAAATAAGAGGATTAAAAAATAATCATTTACTATTTCATTTTAACAAGCATTTGATGAACTTCAAGATATATTTATTGTAAATAAGACTAGAAGGACCTTAATAAAATGGATGCTTACACATCTACACACACACACACACACAAACACACATACACACACATGCTCAAAACCAAAGAACTACACTTCAAACATCCCACCTTAGGGGAAAAAATGTTGAAAGCCTTTCCCTTAGGTCTAACACAAAGATAAATTCTCATGACATTTATTCAACACTCTAGTGGAAGTCCAGGTTAATTAATGCAACACTGAAACAATTAAATAGATGAGAGGTGTGATGGTTCAATGAAAGAAGAAACTCTTGTGTGTTAACTACTCCAAAAAACACAGTCTTAAAGTCAGGAAGTAAATTTAATAATGTTAGTTACAAGGTCAAAATACAAAATTAATCACATTTGTATATACTGACACCACAAATTTTAAATAACGAAAGACAGTCATTTCTAGTATCATCAAAAGTAAATTTCATAAAAGGAGTATAAAATTCCTATAAAAATTTTGTATTTGATAAAGTAATCAGTAGAAATTAAAGAACTAAAGAAGTAAAGAGAGAATTCACAGTATGAAGTCTGTCTCCTAAAGCTAGTTTCCCCAAACTGGTCTACATACCCAATGATATTTCAATCAATATTTAAAAGTAGTCATAGGAACTAAAAGCCAATTCTGAAAGGAAATAGAAAGAGAACTACGACAATTTTACAAAAGAACAAGAGGATCAGGCTAGCTCTATCCGATAGCAGCATGCATAAGGTTATAATTTACAGAGCATGATAATGATAAGAGAAAATGTTCCGTCCCTGTGATAAAATCCCCAGGAAAATAATTTGAAGAGTTTTCTGTGGCTGGGCGGCGGCGGCGGCGGCGGCGGCGGCGGCGGCGGCGGTGGTGGTGGTGCACGCCTTTAATTCCAGCACTCGGGGAGGAAGAGCCAGGCGGATCTCTGTGAGTTCAAGGCCAGCCTGGGCTACAGAGTGAGTTCCAGGAAAGGCACCAAAACTACACAGATAAACCCTGTCTCAAAAAACCAAATAAAATAAAATAAAAGTTTACTGTGGCTCATGGTTTTGGCTCAGTTGCTTTTGGCTCCATTGTTAAAGGTAAAACGGAGCATCATACATCCTAGCAGTGACTGCAGTGAAGCCAAGCTATCCATGGCAGCCAGGAAGCAGAGGAAAAGAGCCAGGAGCTAGGGACAAAATATATCTTTCTCAAGAAAATTCACAGGCACTGACTTCCTCCTAGAGTTTCTACAGCCTCCCAATAGCATCATCAAATGAGACTAAGCTTTTATCACACAGCCTTTGGGATGCATTTAAGAGTTAAACTATAGCAAAGAATAAACAAAATTTGCCAATTAAAAGGTATTTAGAATGCATAAATATAATGATACACACTTATGCATACATGTTAATAAGTTAGGATCAAAGAGATACTCCAGAAGTGGGACAGGGGTAGATGGAGAATGGGTTATCTTTTTGCTTATGGATCTAGGTCAAGCAGACAACTGAGGTAAAATAATTTAATATCATTCGCAAAAATCAATTCCTAGAGAACTATAGACTTAAATATAAAATAATAAATTTGTATAAAAGAACCAAGAAACACTTCTATAACCTTAGGAGAAAGACTTTTTAAACTAGAGCAAAAAAAAAAAAAAGAAAAGAAAGAAAGAAACGAACATTTGCGGTGGTTTGAATGAAAATGGCCCCCACAGGCTCACAGGATTAGGAGGTGTCATGTTGTTGGAGAAGGTGTGTCACTGAGGTAGGCTCTGAGGGTTCAAAAGCCACAGCCATTCCCAGTTAGGGCACTCTCAGCTACTATTCTAGACCCATGCTGCCTGCCTGCCACCATGTTCCTCACTGTGATGGTTATAACCCCCTGAAACCATAAACCCGCATAAACTGTTTCCTCTGTAAGTTGCCTTGGTCATGGTGTCACATCTGAGCAAATATGAAAGTAAGACAACATTTAAAATAAAAAATACCAACAAACTGGACTACATTATAATTAAGAACTTACAAAAAAAAGAACATTAAGAAAATAAAAACAAAAAGCATAAACAGAAGACATTTCCAAGATCTATAATTGTCAAAGATAATGTATCTAAAATAAAGAACTTCTAATCAGTTGAGAAACAGACAAAATGGATCAGTATATAAAAAGTATTCTGACGAGTTCAGCTAACAGAAAAGGAGCTCAAGCTCAGTAGACATCAGGAAAGCATAAATTAAAACTAGTACAGATTCAAATTGAAGACTGGTGGAAACTGGGCTAGCGGGGGAGTGGCTCTGCTGGAAAAGTGCTTGCTTTTCAAGCTGAGACTTGAGTTCAGTTCAGAGTCCACCTAAGAAAAGCAGGACTTGGTGAAGCACCCTTGTAATGTCCGTGTTGGGGAGGTGAAGATGGGGCTCCCCGGGGCCTCCTAACCAATCAGCCTAGGCTATCTGGCAAGCTCCAGTTCAGAGAATGTGTCTCAAAAAAGAAAGAAAACAACACTCAAAGCCCAAGGAAGGACATCAGAGGTATCCTCTGGCCTCCACAAGCACACACATCTGCAACCACACAGAGAACTGGGGAATATGTGGAACAAACTGAACTTCCAAACATTGCTGATGGGAGTTAAAATCACTAAACTTTAAAATTAAATATAAACACAATTCTTGGCAACATAACCAACCAAAATGTAACTGTACACAAGAATCATGAAAAAAAGTACCAGTATTATTCCTAGTGACCCATACCTGGAACTATCTCAGATGTCCATCAAAATAATAGATGCGCGATTAATTAAAAACTGCCAAGTGTGTATGCAATTAAAATGAATTAATTCTATCTATATGTGATGATATAGATAAATTAAAAAATATCATGAATGCCAGCGGTGGTGGCGCATGCCTTTAATCCTAGTACTCGGGAGGCAGAGCCAGGCAGAGCTCTGTGAGTTCGAGGCCAGCCTGGTCTACAGAGCAAGATCCAGGATAGGTACCAAAACAACAGAGAGAAACTCTATCTGGAAAAAACAAACAAACAAACGAAAAACTAAAAAATATCATGAATGATGAAGGACAGAAGAATACATGGTTCATGATCTTACTTTTTAAAACTAAAACACAGAAAAACTAAATTAAGAAATAAAATTAAAGAGCCACTATGGGGTTAGGGAGAAACCTGGTACCAGGGAAACTCTCAGGAATCCAAAGGATGACCCAGTTAAGACTCCTAGCAATAGTGGAGAGGGTGCCTGAACTGGCCTTCTCCTGTAATCAGATTGGTGAATACCCTGTCATCATAGAGCCTTCATCCAGTAACTGATGGAAGCAGATGCAGAGATCCATACCAAGCACCAGGCTGAGCAGGGAGGAGGGATTATATGAGCAAGGAAGGTCAAGACCTTCATGGGGAAATCTACAGAGACAACCAAACTAAACTAGTGGGAACCCATGAACTTTAGACCAACAGTTGTGGAACCTGCATGGGACTGGACTAGGCCCTGTGCACAAGCCAGACAGTTGTGTAGCTTAGTCTGTTTAAGGGTCCCCCCTTTCCCCCCTCCCGGCAGTGGGATCAGGATCTATCCCTGGTGTGTGAGCTGGCTTTTTGGAACCCATCACCTATGGTGGGACATCAGTGGGGAAGGGGCTTGGACCTGCCTCAACTGAATGTACCAGGCTTTGTTGACTCTCCATGGGAGCCCTTACCTTTTTGGGGGAGGGAAAAGGGCATGAGTTGGAGGGGAAGACTGGGGGTGCTAGCAGGAGGAGGGAAGAGAGGGATCTGTGGTTAGTACGTAAAATGAATAAAAAATTTCTTAATAAAGAAAAAAATGAAAAAAGAGAGAGACAGTGGTTATCTTTCACTATCATTGAGGAAAAGGGAGGGATAAGTTTTTAGAGGTTCTAGCCATTTCTCAACTTGAATTGTATTACAAGAATTTTTCACTTTGCAATGATGCACTTGGCTTGTTTTCTCTTGTTTATGTTATAAATAAACAAATGCACATAAATATGCATATGTACTAGCTAGTTGCTTTTGTAAATTTTGGAAACATTGGTGGTATCATGTAATACTCAAGTTTATTAATGTATCTTCTTTTTAGTACCCTGAAGACATAAAGATATAATCTTATGGATTTGAAAAAATTAAAGATTTATTGTATTTTGTTTGAGGCTAACCTGGGCTACACAGAGAACTGAAGGCCAGATCTTCTCAAAACAAAACAAACAAAACCAAATGCAAGTAGTGAGAAGTAAGACTGACAGAAGTAGAGAGCACAAGAGGCGGATGGGAGGCTGGACAACATTCATCTGTGTTTCAGCAGGTAGTGAGATGGTGTGGGTACTAGGACAACCCATATCTTTAACTGGCACCTGAGGTTTTCATGTCTTCATATACCTTACAATTCCATGCTCCCTTTTCCTAAATATATCAATTTCACGAAAGCTTTGCTGCTTGTTTGAGAATTTCTTCTCCCGCTCTACTGGTCTTTTACTGAACTACCACTCAGTTTTCAATTAAAAATAAATTGTCTTGCTTAGGGTTTGCTAGTACTTGGAATTCAATTTTTACTAAGAATTACGGTTGCTTTATTCTTCTAAAACTTAGATATCCATCCATCATGCAAATTCACTCATACAATTCCTGTCCCACATCAGATTGTGGCCAGTTATTCATCTTTATTGATGTGAAGTTTTTCCCTCTTCAAACCTAAGAAATAACATCATTGCTGTAGTGTTGTGATTTTAGTGTGTGCGTGTCAGGGAGGAGAGACAGACAGGCAGGCAGACAGACAGATAGACAGGGAGGAGAGAGGGGGAGCCAGCGAGCACGGGGCATTAAACATGTACTAGTTACCAAGCTAAGGGCTTCATTTGTATTGTCCCAATTAAGTCTCACAACTCCACAGAGTTAGGGTGTTCTTACACTCCTAAGGGAAAAACAACAAAAACAAAACCAGAGGCACAGGAACCTAAGAATTTTGCCCAAGATCAAACTTAAGAAGTGTGAGAGCTAGGCAATATACTTACAGAAACAAATTTAGAGATTATGCCCTTAACCTTTGGTCTACAGTACTTCCAACGCGGTGCATGTTCCCCTAAGCTTCCCTGTTGCTCAAGTCAAGAACCCGAGTTGCTCTCCTTTTTTCCAAACCTCTCAGCCTTCAATCTCTGCATCCTCCTTAGGTCACGTCTTACCTACGATGACTGTAGCTAACTGACCTGTACTCCTCTATAAACCTCTATATCCTGTTCAAGGCAGCCTTGCTGTCTTTAAACAAAGCATACTCCCAGTCCCTCCAATGCTGCAAATACTTGGGATGCCTAAACCACTCTGACCAGTAAACATATACTGCTAAGTCAAGTTTCTGTCCAAATCTCCTGACCATGGTTTAATAACTACGTAAGCCAATGTTTGTTTAGCACTATGTGTCAGATGCTATTCTCCTTTATATCTCAATGTTTACTCAATAATTTCATCAACTCTACTCGGTAACTGAGGCAAACGAGTCAGCAGCTGTTGCTGCGTCAGTGTTTTTATGGGATTTATGTATCTCCCTCCGCCAATGACATGCTTAGAGAACAAGAATATCTTCATCCTTCCATCAGCTATGTTTGTATAGCACCTGCCACGTAATAAAACAGTAGCTCAACGAACATCTTTTCCACTAATGACCAGAGCAGTGCCTGCGGGTCCCTAACTGCAGACTTGGGAACTCCTCCTGGCCCATCAGCCCTCGAGTTTCTCCGAGCCCCAGAGAAGCATAACAAACCGATTTCGTGTCTAGCCGACTCCTAAGCACGCTTAAGGAATCTATGAGTATTTACCAGCGGTTCCGCTTCGCTAAGTACAGACATAATCTCATGTACATCACCAAGCATTCTGTGAAGCGGACTTCTCTTAAGTTTTTACGTATTTCCACGCTGGGACCCAACCACAATCAAAACATATCAGTAGGTCAACGACAGCGACACTGCACCTTGCAGATGAATTTTCCATCAGGGAATAGGGCGCTTACTTTGGTCTTTCAGTAAGTCGAATTCTGTGGCCATTTCGATATTTTAGTTTGGAGTTTTCATCACCTTTATCGATTCCTCGCAGGGGGCAATAAGATTTTTTTTAAAAAACAAACAAAAACCCAGCCTCCCGCTGTGAGGGGCAGCAAACAGCTAAGGGGTCGCCGTGGCAGCCGAGCGCCGGCGCGGAGGCATCAGCATCCCACTCACGCGGCGGCGCAGCCCGGCCCGCAGCTCCCCCGAAGCCAGGCGACGCGCGTCAGCCTCCGCTCGGCCGGACCCGGGCGGGGGAAGGGGCGGCGGGGCGGCGCGCGGCCGGAGGGCGCCGGGTTCCCGTCGGAGCGCGCGGGACGGCGGTCCCGGGACGCGCCAGGCTCGGCCGCGGCGACACGGCGGGGCCGAGGGGCGACGCCAGGACCGCGGGGGAGCCCGAGCCGCCGCCGAGTCCACTCGGCCCGCCCTGCGACTTTGAAAGCGGTGCCCCGGACCGTTCCTTGGAGACGGTGACGCCGCGTCCGTCATCACGCGGGCGTCGGCGCCTGCGTCATCGCGCTGCCTCGGGCTCCGGCAGCCATTGGCTGTCTGTCAGGCGCTGGGCGGATCCCTAAGCGCGCTGGGGGCTGAGTCGCTCGCTTGGCGCCTTCCGCAGTGCCGCGGCGGGTGTCTGAGGCAGTGTGGCGCAACTTGAATTTTTTTTTTTTCCTCTTTCTTTCTTTCTGTTGGTAAGAAACCCGAAGACTGTGACAGGAGCAGGCACTAGATACACATTCTCGTTGCTCCCCGAGTCTTGGTTTCGCAGACACTAAGCGTCTGTGGGGCGTGTGCAGGGAGGGCTGTGGGTCCTGGGGCGGAGGTGACTCCAGTCCCCTCCAGTCAGCTTCCAGCAGTCGCTTCTAGGTCTGGAAGTAGTGACCCTCCTGCTCCTAGGAAAGAGAGCTGTTGTCGAATATTTAACCCTGTCACGTAGTCGGGATTCAGGGTAGCCTGCAAAGCCTGCAGGTACGTCAGAGATGTGTCTTCAAATCTAAGGACACACAAAAAAAGTAAAATTTGTATCGGTGGATAAATTGCCATTCCCAGTTTTAAGAAGTGATGTTGTGCAGGTTTGAGCCGTAGAGCTTAAAACACACAAACACACATACACAAAAATGCTGGAGAAAATGACATTAGCAAAAAAAAATGTGCTTGTAGTTTATTACTGGCTTTATAGAGCCTTTTTAATTGATTATATTTTTATGCATTGAAATAAAGTTTCATTAAATATGTCCTGGTCCTGAGATGGCCCCGTTTGGTTATGGCGTGCTTGCCTGATTTGGGATTCCCAGCACCCACATAAAAAGCCAGGCAGGGCCCTGTGTGCCTTTAACACCGGTCCTGGGGAGGCGCAGACAGAAGGTTGAGGGGAAAGGGATGCTCTCTGGCCAGCAGCCTAGACAAACTGGAAAATTCCAGGGTCAGTGAGACACTGTCTCAAAAAGTAAGGTCAGGTATGTTTATAAGATTTCTTTTTTCTGTGAGACAATAACTGGTGAAATAAAGGTTGAAAAAAAAAGGTTTTTTTTCATTTGAGAATGACACCCCACCTCAACCTCAGTCCTTAAACAGGTGCAAACACTCTCCCCCAGGGACACACATACAAACAAAACAAAAGTCGAGTGTGTACTGGATGAAGTTCTGTTGAATGCCTTAGAAGTTTTGTAAACCTGTACCCATAAAATAGCGTAAACTGTGTTAGCCTTCTTCCTCTAAAAAGACTAGCTTTAAAATGTGTATATGTCTGTAATAGCCTTTCACAGGTTTAAGTTAGCCTTGAGTCTGTGAAGAGTCAACCTGGTCAGGTTCTTAGTGGCCATAAACTTACACTGATTGTGCAAGCTCCACCTCTTCAGTGTAGAGGACTTTCTGATGCCGCTTCTCACTGACTCTCCTCAAAGAGAGCTCCCCACATTTGAACTTTGTATTGTAATGTAAGTTGGCATTGAGTAAGTAGCTATAAATTTAATATTTACACTCAGCATTAATAAAATATATTGGTGTGGAAAAAGCAAAGTGTGACCTCTATATAAAAATGATGAATAGTTTTTGTCTAAATTGAATAGTGAAATAGAACTTTTATGTTTGCACTTGAAGTGTTTGGTTTTATACGATCATGGTCAAAATAAACACAAATCATCTGAACTTTCATACATTGAAAAACTGAACTACTAATTTAACTACTAATTATAGTTTAACTACTAATTATAGTAAGTTGACACTAAACACCTAGTATTCTGCAAAACAAACCTGAAGAATATCCAAAGTTGGAGTTTAAGTAAGCAAATTTCAAAGAGCTCATCACACCATGGATTTGAGCCCAGAAAGTATGATTTCAATATCACAACCTTTAACTACCAGGTAATACAAATTATATCTAATGTTTTAATGTTTATAGTTTCTAGTTGAAATAAATGAATTGCTACTTTACATATTTTATTATAATCTCAGTGATTTACAGTTCATTTTCAAATGGCTTTATGTTTGTATTGCTGAATTATCCTAACCTCTTAAAATAATAAAAGAAGTAAACGCCCAGACTTCAATGGTATGCTTAAAAATCTTCAAATGTTTATATGTCCTCGAAACATTTTCTCTGAAAAATTGGGTTTGTCACTTTCAGAACTCCAAGTCCCTCCCCCTAGAACGTGTGCTGGGCGGAGCCTAAGAGGGAGCCCTGTTCTTCGACGTGGGCCAGAGACCGCCACAGAGCACAGCAGAGCTGGAACTGAGAACTTCCAGGTCTGTGTTCTATTGGTATGTCCTTTTATCTCCTCTTTAAAGTCTGCCATAAGCTCGTACTAAAAACATCTTCCTTTCCCTCTGCCTCCTGCTGGCACAGATTTCTCTGACTTCCTCCTTCCTTGATTTCTTTTAGAAATGTGTGGTGCTGTGCAGCATGCAAACTAAAAAGAAGTATGCACTGTAGAAAAAGTAAAGGATTTTTTTTGTAAATAAAGGACCATGGAAATATTCCTTGAAAATGGTTTTATTGAAAAAGCGTTCTTTAAAACCTTTCTTTTAAGCTTTTTTGTTTGTGTCCTGAATGAATGCTCCAGGAGTCTTTTTTTTTTCATTTCCTTATATAAAAATTAAAAGAATTGAATTTTTAAAGTGTAAGTTGAAGAAGATAAGCTAAAGATTAACAACATTGTTTTAGGAAAGCCAGAACAGCTGATAGTAAGATTGTGTACTGGGATAGTGAACTCCTAGGTAATATTAATTCTGACTCTGTAAATGTTTCATCATAGTGCTAGTTAAGAGATTTAGCCTTAAATTGGACTCTAAAATATTCTCAAATTATTCATTTATAATTTTTTATTGTAACAAACTCACAAATAAGCAGCTGCTCAAACACACAGGCACACACTCCCTCCCAGTCTATACATCGCAGTGCAGTAAACTTCAGACGTTAGAGTGGCTGTTCTGAAGCCATGGATCTTCATTCAAGGTTTTACCCTATTATGGTAAATCCACGTGAGTCTATTAAATGAGTAACAGAATTTATTAAGATATAAACTGAGAAAATACACTCACGATTACAGAACGGAATAGACAGCAGAAGTCATCTTCTGATCTGACCAGGAATGAATCCACCTGGAAGGCAGGAGCAGAAGGGGCATGTGACCCTTGTCCAACTCCGATTAAGAGGTCACATACAATGGCAGGAAGCACCACCTCCTTTGGGCTGTATAGCCCAAGGTCATGGGTGGAGCAAATACCACTACATTACCCCTTCACTATCAGTTACTTTTTTTTTTTTTTTTTAGGTTTTTTGAGACAGGATTTCTCTATGTAGCTTTGCGCCTTTCCTGGATCTTGCTCTCTAGACCTGGCTGGCCTCAAACTCACAGAGATCCACCTGCCTCTGCCTCCTGAGTGCTGGGATTAAAGGCATGCACCACCACCGCCCAGTTACATTTTTATGCATTCTCCACCACTAAAAAAAAAACAAAAAAAACAAAAACTATGACAGAGTTTAAGGTAGAAATACAATTAGCTTATATCCTCTTTGATGACTCAAGTGGCCTTTTGTCTGCACTCTGTCTTTCCTCATCACTTAGTATTACTCTTTGTTAGTCTCCTTTCTGAATGTTACACAATACCCACACTTACAGCTATTTCTATATATACGTGTATACATTAAAGGCTATTCACATATTTTCACATATATATAACACATGCCTACAATGTTTACACATACACATGTATATATCACATATCTTTTTTCTTTCAGAATTTCATATACACATACAATGATTTTGGTCATACCCCTCCCCATAACTCTTCCTAGATCTACTTCTGCTTCTTTGTCCCCTTCCAAGTTCATGTCCTTTCCCCCCGCCCCCAAATAATCACTTTGTTTGTGTTGCTAATATACTCAGGCATATGGGGCCATGACTGGATCTGAGTAAACATACCAGAGGCCACATCTTTAAAGAAAACTAACTCTTCTTCCTCAGAACATCAACTGTCAATTGCTCCTTAGCTGGGGGTTGGGGGCATTTGAGTCCCTTTCCCCTTCATGCTGAAATGTTGGCTGTCTTGATCTTGTCCAGGTCTTGTGCACAGAGCCACAGTTACTGTGAGTTCATGAGTACAGCAGTCCTGTCATGTCCAGAACACACTATTTTGCTCCTGTTCTCCACGACCTCTGGCTCTTGCAGTCTTTCTATCCCTTCTTCCTTAATGTTCCCAAGCCTTAGGAAGAGGGTGTGATTTAGATGTCTTATTTTTTTTAATTAATTTATTTTTTAATTACACTCATGATATTCATTAATTACACTCATGATATTAATTACATTTGTGGTATTCATTGATTACAGTCACAGTATTCATTCAATAATTACATTTATGATATTCATTAATTACGTTAATTGTATTGATTTATTACATTCATGATGTTATGTCCTGATACTACTGTCCATTTGTGGGGTTTTCCCCTCACACAAAACAGAGATTCTGTAATTAGTAAATCATTGATTTATATTCCTTTCTTCTCTATCTTGAGATAACATCTAATCTTTCTGTCTCTATGAATTTGTATATTCTATATATTTCATGTAATACAATTCTATAGTATTTGTCCTTTTTTTAATATAAAAACATTTTATGTACAACTGTACATAAATATATGTACACATATAGCCTGAACATACAAACAGGTTATAATTTAAAAGTCCAGGGTTATTTTAAACAGTAAAATATTTTCTCTGTAGAAAATAGTATAAATTATAACATTTCCCAATAAGCCCTTTTATATTTTTGGTTGTGAGCCTAGCCTTTAACGGCTGAGCCATCTCTCCAGGCCCCAATAAGCCCTTTTAAGCCAAATGGTAGATGAATTATACATATAAATATTGATTAGATTCTGGGACACAGAAGAAACCTATCTTCATCTGTTCAGAGAGCTATGTTTTACTTAAGTTGTGTAAGTGAGATTCCTATTCATCTTCCTCTTCACTGTTTGATTTATGGCAGACATTTTTCTATAGGCTAATCCATATTCTAAAAAAGTTTTAGCCTCCCTTCCTGAAAGTACGGCCAGCATTTTCTTTCATCGGCTTGATACAGTACAAATTCTTATCCTAATAGTGAAATTTTTCACTAAAGCTTGCCCAGTGACTGGGTTAAAACCAAAACTTATTATAAGCCACAGTCATCCTAGGGTTCCCCCTGCTAGGTAACCTCCCTGGATCTGTGGGTTGCAGTCTGATTGTCCTTTACTTTATTAGATGTCTTATTATATTAATACACAGCTTTTAACAAGCCATTGATGTAACTGGCGCAGCGGGTTTCCCCTGCTTAAATCTGTACACTCAGAATTTTAGTTGTAGACACCAGAGCAGTATTCACTTGACTTACAAATAGCTCCTAGTTCAAGCATTCTAGCTTAGACTGAGAGACAATAATACATGTCATGTGGTGTAAGTTATGTGAATCGAAGTGGAAGAGTGCAGCAGTGATAGAGGATGGCAGGGAGGGTTACTCCGGGTGAGGAAGGCCATGGACAATTAAGATGTCTGTGCAAAAAACCAGAAAGACAGTAGAGGTCAAGTCTTAGGAAATGACTAAGGGGGTGGAGAGGAGGGTTAGTTGTCTCTGAGCTTTTGTTAGCTTCAGATTGTTAACAAGTTAGCAAGATTACACATTTTACTTTAATGTTTAAATTGAAAATAGATTTTTCCATATAATATATTCTGATCACAGCTCCCTCCTCCTCCTCTACTCCTCCCAGATCCTCCCTACCTCCCTACCCATCCAACTCCACCCCTTTTCTCTCTCTCTCTCTCTCTCTCTCTCTCTCTCTCTCTCTCTCTCTCTCTCTCTTTAGAAAACAAACAGGCAAACAAAACAAAACCAAAACAACAACAACAAACCAGAATAGAACAAACGGAAAAACAAGGAAGTGTGAGAAGCACATGCACACACAGAGACAGATAGAAAACCCATAGGAACTCAAAATCAGGAACCATATAAGCAAAAGACCAGTAAGGTTAACAAAAAAAATCCCAGATAAAGCATTATAAGACAAACTGGTCTTTTGCTCCACCCCTTGGCATGCCTTTAAAACCCCTTTAGTAGAGCCAGAAGGGGCCGATGGTTAAGGATCCAGGCCCATCGGAGGCTAGCCTGTGTTTCTGTCTCTCTCCTCTGTTTCTATTTAAATCTCTTATCCTTCACTCCTCAAGAGTCCCTGGGGTAAATAAATGTGGGAGCTGGTCTCCCATACTTCCCAAATGCCATTAAGTTCATTTTGAATTGGTCATCCACTACTGGGCATGGGGCCTGTCCTTAAGAGTGGTTTGTATGCTCAGTGAGACTCCTTTGTGTGCAGTTGTCACCTGGAAAAGCCTTTTTGGTTAGGGACGGGAGATCATGTCTACTTTCCCATCTCAGTGCTGGGATCCCATCTAGCTTGAATCTATGAAGTCCCTGTGCGTGCTGCCACTGTCTGTGACTTCCAGTGAGTATCAGTCCCTGTTGTGTCTTGAAGGCCTTGTTTCCTTGGTGTCTTCCACCCTCAGTGGCTCTTAGAATCTTTTGCTTCCACTTCCTTAAAGTTCCCTGAACTCTGAGAGGAAAGGTTTGATGGAGACATCCCTTTTAGACTGGGTGTTCCAAGGTCTCTCACTATCTGCACATTGCCTGGATGGGAGTCTCTGTGTTTGTTCCTATCTACTGCAGGTGGAAGCTTCCCTGGTGATGGTTGAGTGAGGCACTGATCTATGGGTATAGCAGAATGTTGTTAGGAGTCATTATAGTGCTATATTTCTTTAGTAGAATAGTAGTATTTGGTTTTCTCCTAGGTCCATGGCCTATCTGGTCCCAGGTTCTTGGCCAGCTAAGCAGTGTCAGATGTGGAGGGATCCCAAAACAGCTTGACCACACAGCTGCCATGACAGGCTTAGGGGTCCAGACACAGTTTCTGTGACAGGCTTACTGGCAGGCAACACCCAGATCCAGGAAAAGCCATAAGCTAACACCACCTAGGGATCCACCCAGGGATGGGGAAGTACCTAACATCCCAAACATTCCAACTATTAGATAAGGTGGCCACATGTCCTTGAATCTACACACAGCTATTTTTGTTTTACAGATACCCCTAGACAGTTGTCAGCCAATCAGGGTCCTGAACCCTGGAAATCCCCTCACCCCAACCTCTGCTATGATGAAAACCCCACCCCACCTTAGCTTGGGGCTCTCTGCTCTCACCGCTGTGTCGGACTGACAAGGACCAAGCCCTAGAGCTTGAATAAAGGCTCTTTGCTTTTACATACGGGGTTAGGTCTCCGTGGTGGTCTTTTGGGAGTCCCTGCAATCTGGGCATAACATCAGGTATGTGTTCTATCTCGTGAAGTGGGTCGTAGCCAAATCAGATATTGGTTACCCCACAAGCTGTGTGCCACCATTGCTCTAGCATATCTTACAGGTAGGACACCATTGTGGATCAAAGGGTTTGTGACTGGGTTCATGTTTACATTTTTCTTTTGTTAGTGTGCAGAGCACCTTCCTGTACCAAAGATGATAGAAGTCACAGACAGTGGCAGCACGCACAGGGTCTTCATAGATTCAAGCTAGATGGGATCCCAGCACTGAGATGGGAAAGTAGACATGATCTCCCGTCCCTAACCAAAAAGGCTTTTCCAGGTGACAACTGCACACAAAGGAGTCTCACTGAGCATACAAACCACTCTTAAGGACAGGCCCCATGCCCAGTAGTGGAAGGCGCTATGTAGGCACCAGCTTGACTTTCCCATGTGCAATGAGTTGTGTAGGTGTTATCTTCAACAGTGGGGCCTTGCTGTCAGTTTGTGGAGAGCAGCCTATAGTCTGGATAGCTTGGGGTTTCCCATGGGACCCCTTTCACCTGGTAGTGTCTCCCCCAATATTTGGTAATTTCATTTAGATCACCTTCATATATGTATATAATTTAGGAAGCTTCTACTATATTAGGTTTCTCAGATGGCCTTTAGTTTTAGCTCTCTCTGTTTTCCCTCTGTTGTACTTTATCCTCATTCATAACCATCTATTGTATTTCCCTTTCCTAATGAGACAGATCTGTCGTGCCCCCCAGCCCCCTACTCTATACCTAATCTCTATGGTTCATGTAGTATGGTTATCATTGACTTATCAGCTAATACCCACATATAATTGAATACATACATGTCTTTTTGGATCTAAGATACCTCAGTAAGGATGATTTTTTTTTCTAGTTTCATCCATTTACCTGTAAAATTCACTTTTTAAACAGCTGAGTAATACTCCACTGTATAAATGAACCATGTTTTCTTTATCAATTCTTCTGTTGTGAGACATCTAGGTTATTTCCAATTTTTGGCTATTATGAATAGAACAACAATGAACATGGTTGAGCAAATGTTTTTGTGGTAGCATGAAGCATATTTTAGGTATATGCCTCAGACTGGTATAACTGGGTCTTGGGGTAGATTGATTCCCATCTTCCTGAGGCACTGCCACACTAATTCCCATAGTGACTGTTACAAGTTTACATTCCCACCCTCAGTGGATGAGTGTTCCCTTACTCTACATCCTTGCCAGCATGAGCTGTCGCTTGTTTATTGGATCTTAGCCATTTTGATGGGTGTAAGATGAAATTTTAAAGTAGTTTTGATTTGTGTTTTCCTGATGGCTAAGGTTGTTGGACATTTCTTTAAAGTGTTTCTCAGCCATTTGAGTTTCTCTTTTGAGATTCTCTGTTTAGACCTATAGCCATTTTTTAATTGGGCTATTTGTTTTCTTCATATTGAGTTTTTTGAGTTCTTTTATATGTTTTGGATATTAGCGCCCTGTTGAATGTGTAATTGGTAAAAAATCTTTTCCTGTCCAATTAGCGAGAATGAGGAGGGTTTATATGAGTGAGAATTGTTGAGACCAAGGTTGGATAAAGCACAGGGACAAATAGCCAAACGAATGGAAACACATGAACTATGAACCAATGGCTGAGGGGTCACCAACTGGATCAGGCCCTCTGAATGGGTGAGACAGTTGATTGGCCTGATCTGTTTGGGAGGCATCCAGACAGTGGGACCGGGTCCTGTGCTCATTGCATGAGTTGGCTGTTTGAAACCTGGGGCCTATGCAGGATTGCTTGGCTCGGCCTGGGAGGAGGGGACTGGACCTGCCTGGACTGAGTCTACCAGGTTGATCTCAGTCTGTGGGGAAGGCTTTGCCCTGGAGGAGATGGGAATGGGGGGCGGGCTGGGGGGAAGGTGAGGGGGGTGGGAGCAGGGAGAACAAGGGAATCCGTGGCTGATATGTAGAACTGAATTGTATTGCAAAATAAAAAAAAAAAAAAAATCTTTTCCCATTCTGTAGCCTGCCACTTTGTCTGAGTGACAGTGTCCTTTGCCTTGCAGAAGCTTCTCTGTTTCATGAGGTCCCATTTATTGTTTATCTTAGTGCCTGTACTAACAGTGTTCTGTTCAGAAAGTCTTTTCCTATGCTAATGACTTCAAGGCTGTTCCACATTTTCTCTTCTGTTAGGTTCCATGTCTCTGGTTTTATGTTGATCCTTTTAGAGTTAAGTTTTGTGCAGGGTGATAAGTATGGATCTGGTTGGATTCTTCTACATGCAACCATCTAGTTTGACCAGCACCATTTGTTGAAGATGCTGTCTTTTTTTCCAATGTGTATTTTTTTATTAAAAAAAAAAAATCAGGTATTCACTGGAGTGTAGATTTATGTTTGGGTCTTCAATTCAATTTCATTGATCAGCATGTCTGTTTTTATGCCAATACCATGCTGTTTTTATTGCTATAGCTCTGTAGTACAACTTGAAATCAATGGATGGTGATAGTTCTTTTATTATTCAGAATTGTTTTAGCTAGCCTGTGTGTGTGTGTGTGTGTGTGTGTGTGTGTGTGTGTGTGTGTGTGTGTGTATTGTTCCTATATGAAGCTGAAAATTGTTCTTTCAGGATCTGTGAAGGATTGTGTTGGAATTTTAATGGGGATTGCATTGAATCTGTAGATTGCTTTTGGTAGAATGGCCATTTTTATTATGCTAATCCCACTGAGCCATGAGTGTGGGAGATCTTTGCATCTTTTGATTTCTCCTTCAATTTATTTCTTCAGTGTCTTGAACTTTTTATCATACAATGTTCCTTCTGTTTCTATTTTGTGGAATAATTTGAGGAATATTCATATTAACTCTTCTTTGAAGTCTGGTAGAATTCTTCATGGAAACCATCAGGCTCTAGGCTTTTGTGTGTGTGTGTGTGTGTGTGTGTGTGTGTGTGTGTGTGTGGTGTGTGGTGTGTGTGTGTGTCTGTGGTGGGGGAGACTTTTCATGACTGCTTCTATTTCACTAGGGGTTATAGGTCTATTTAAATTGCTTATCTAATCTTGATTTAATTTTGAATGTATTGAGAAAATTATCATTTCTTTTAGATTTTCCAGTTTGGTAAAGTACAGGTTTTTGAGGTATGCGCTTATTCTCTGGATTTCTTCTGTACCTGTTGTTATGTACCCTTCATTTCTAATTTTGTTATTCTCTCTTTCTTATGCTTAATTTGGATAAGGGTTTGTCAGTCTTACCGATTTTTGTCAAAAACCAACTCTTTGTTTTATTGAGTTTTTTGTTTGTTTGTTTGTTTGTTTTTATTGATTCCAGCCCAGAATTTGGTTATTCCTTGTTGTCTTCTCCTTTTGGGTGTTATTTCTGTCAGATAAGCTTCTTACTGTAGCTGATGAAAAGCATTGCATAAAGCCACAAATGGTCAAGATGCGAAGAACAATTGACCGGGAGCTCCCTAGCTCTACATGATACATCTACAACACAAGCCTACAACAGCTAAGGTTCAGGAAACATAATGGAGAGAGGGCCAGAGAACCAGGACATCTGCTGAGAGATCGTGGCTTCTGGATAGGATAGGGAAGCTTCATCCACGAAATCTCAGTGATGACAGTAACCTAAAGAAAACCTGAACAATGACATCACCAGTTGACATTCAGATGTGAATGGGGGAAATCTCATAAGGCCCCACCCTTGAAGAGCTATAGGCAGTTAATGCTGAGAGAGGAAGAGCCCCCTAATTGGTTATTCAATACCAAGTACTGAGCCCTAAAAACATGTATGAGTATATGAACAACACCAAATGGACTCAGCAGGTAGTGTTATATATTAATATGTATGCATTAATGTATCAATAATTAAAGAAAAAGAAAACAAGAGAGATAATACATGAAAGTATAAGGGCTTGGAAGTAGAAGAAGGGGAACATTGAGAAGGGGGAACAAAATACAGTAATAGGGATTGAAGATGATCAGCATATATTATATACGTGTACGAAATGTCATAATAAATCCCATCATTTGGTACAATTAATAAATGTTAAGAAAATGGAAAAACATTTACAGATGATTGTTATACACACACATATAACGTTACCATCTGTTAAAAACAAAACAAAGTTGTGTACTAATGAGATGGATGTATTCATTTTTACACAAAGGATTAATCTTGGCTGAATATGGAAAATACATAAACTTGTATTGTTAAGTACAGTTACAATTTCTGCAGTGGACTTAGTCATAACATTTTACAATTAATTTTGTATACCACAAATAAACAGAGCAATATCAAGATGAAAAGTCATGAATCTTGGGGCTCCTGGCAGTGGGACTTGGATTTATCCCTGGTACATGAACTGGCTTTTTGGAGCCCACCCCCTGTGGTGGGATACCTTGTTCAGCCTTGATGCAGGGGGAGGGACTTTGGCCTGCCTCAACTTGATGTGCCAGACCTTGTTGATGGCCCATAGGAGGCCTTCCCCTCTCTGAGGAGTGGAATGGAGGGGTGGGAATGAGGAGGAGGGAGGGAAGGGGAACTGTGGTTGGTATGTAACATGAAAAAAAAATTTTAAATTTAAAATAAAATAATATATTTTTAAAAAGTCATGAATCTTTTAGGCTCCAGTTGTTATTTTGGAATGGAATTCATAGTCTACAATTTGCCACACCCCAGATGGCCTTTTGACTCCTGGGGTCTCATTCTTGTCACTCTGTTGCCTAGCTGTCTCCTGTTTGGCATCACAATTGTCAAGTAAAGGGCACTGTTAAATGCTGTTAACAAATTTGTTTTGATTTACTTCTTCAGATGAATTTTAAAATTGAACACACTTGGGATGGTTTTCCAGTGAGGCATGAGCCAGTGTGTGTCAAGCTGAGTCCAGGGGACAAGGGAGTGAAGCTGGAGGTTTGTGCTCCATTTTTCAATGACCCTCCAGCTCCTCCTGGAGAACCAGGAAAGCCTTTCAGTGAACTGTGGAATTATGAAGGTAGGTAGAAGGATTGTATTTTATTACAAACATAAATCTTTTTCTAATAACCTCTCAGAGAACTATTATTTTATCTTGCTGTTAGGAAGTAATATGCTTCTGAACAACTGACGTTCAGTTTCTGATCTTAACTACCTACCCATCTGTCATTCTGACTCTCCTCCCATTACCAATGGGCTTAGTGTACAAGCAGAACAGAGAAAAATGGCGATCCCAAATCCAGGTGCTGCGGTTGCTTCCACATTTCCTTCCTTTACTCTGCTCTAGAAAGAGTTTGTAGTCCCCATTTTGTTTTTGAAGAAATTTTCAGTTGCCATCTTTACCTCATAAGCCTCCTGCGTGGGAATTAGTGTCTGTTGCTTACTGGAGAAATGCCGTCAGCCTGAGATTTAATACCTACTTTCTGCTGTCAAGTAATCTCACATATCAGATTAAGGCCCAAAGACATGCCCGGAAATTAAATGGTTTCAGGTTTGTTTTCTGACCTTCTTGTACTGTATCCTTATCAAGCTGCAGGGTTCTTTTGGAAATACTGTTCATGATGCCATCCCCATAGATATAAAACACTACATTACAAGAAATTAAGAATTTACCCCAAGATTTCTCACTCTGTATATTGGGATGTATTTACTTGGTTAGCACAGAGCCTTCTTTCTAAGTAATCTCTTTTCCTAAGTCCATGTTTTACTTTGAAGCCAGAATGACCTGTCTATATCTCTAAGTGAAAAAGTAAATTTACCCTTCAGCTAAAAGTTTTTTTAATGTAAAGCCAGGCTTGGGAAAGAGGGCTGGGGAGTGGGAGGAGGGAGGAGGGGGGGTCTGGATAGCATGTGGAGTGAGTAGAAAATTTCTTAATAAAGAAAAAAAAATTAAAAAAATAAAAGTTTTTAATGCAAAAAAGCAAACTATATTCAAGTATGATTTCATATTTATTTTTTAAATATCTTAAGAGGTACAGTCATTTGTAGAAGCTTAGAAAATGTCTGGCAAGATTTAGACCAAAGTAGAAAGAAAAGGACTTGGGTTTTCACTACATATGTTTTATGCTGTTGTAACTATTTACAAGAAAGATGCACTACATTCATAATTAACTAATTTTTAAGACAGCTAATGCTCAACAACCCCAGAAATTATAATAAAAATCACCACTTACAAATAACCAGGAATTTTTTAAAATTAGTTTTTTAAAATTAGTTTGAAGAAAACATTTCCATGCTTGTGGAGGTCAGGGGACTTGTGGGAGTTGGTTGTCTCCTCCCACTGTGTGGGTTTTGGGGATCCAACTCAGGTCATCAGGTTTGGTAGCAAGCACTTGACCTGCTGAGCCACCGTACTAACTCCACCACTCTTCATATTTGTTGTGCCCATGTTGTAGACAGGTAGTCACTGGCACACACATACACATACATACACATATTTAAATCTCATGTACATTCGGTTCATGGCTCATACATTTAGTTACTGCTCTGTAACCAACCTGCAAATATCATGGAAGTCTTGTCATACATACATATTTCACTGTCTTTGACTTTAATGGCACCCTTGTATTCTATTACATGAAATGTATGCATTCTGTAACGTACTTAATCAGTTTTGCTGAATAATAGGTGATTTATTTATGTACCAGAAAATAATTTTATGTAAGAAGAGATAACTATATCATTTCTGGTTTTTTGAGTCATACTCAGATGGGTAGAATTGTACTTAATTTCTTTTTCTAGTTTTCTGATTTGTTTCCTTGGGATAAATTCCAAGAGGAAGATAACTAGGCCTGAGTCCATCTGTGCAGAAGTGTTGATTTCCCTATGACCTCACCAGCACTAGGCTTTGTATTTCCTTTTAATTTATGGCAGACTTCTATGGGAGAAATTGAGGATGACTTATTTCCTGTGCTTTTCTTCCTGAGTCTGTGTGTTTATTTTGCTCCCTTTCCTATTGGGAATAGTATGATGATTTAAGAAACTTAGTAATTCACTTTATATTAGAAAGGAATAAATAATTTACCATGTAAGCAAAATAAAATTTCCCATGTTCTGTCTGTTTTCATAAGTTGTGGAAGCATTTTTCTTGAATGATACAACTGAGCAGTATTTAGAAGTTGAACTTTGTCCGTAAGTATAAACTATTTTTCTTAACTATTACTACATGATTTGAACGTATTTGTTTTCTAGTTATGGATAGTATGGCTGTGGTAAAGCTCACTAAGTTCAGCTAAGTAGAGGTCATATTAACTGGAGTCAATTTTAAATCTATTTAGTGTTTTATACAATGCATACTTTTAGAATTTATGTTTAGAATATATATCTCATACATGTTTCAGTACAGTATGTTGATGTGATTTTTTTGGTTTACTGATATAAATGATTTTGTAATAAACTTGATAATTTCTTTTACAAAGTGGAAAAAAATTACTGTCAACAAATCATTACTTTATATGTTTGCACTATTATATATTAACTGTTTAGAAGTAAAGGGAGATTTCTAATCCCTAATCAAGACATTATCTCCAGTTCACAACCACTTGCAAAGGAAAAATTAGTTTTCTTCAATGGAAGTTCACTGGGTATACAAACTACTCTTAAGGACATTCTCCATGCTCAGCAGTAAATGACTGACACACAAAAAAAATTCCATGGTATTTTTGTAGACTTCTTTTTTTTTTTTTTTTTTTTTTGTCTTCTATTGCTTTTTTGGGCATAAAAAAAAATCTTACAGCTGGGTGGTGGTGGTACACGCCTTAATCCCAGCACTCAGGAGGCAGAGACAGGTGGATCTTTGTCAGTTCAAGGCCAGCCTGCTCTGCAGAGTGAGTTCCAGGACAGGCTCCAAAGCTACACAGAGAAACCCTGTCTCAGCACCCACCCCACCCCACCCCCCACCCCACCCCACCCCCACCAAAAAAAAAATCTTAATAGTCTTTCCCTTGTATCTTATGGTTTCCAATTTTGTGTTTTTATGGGTTTTGTTTTTGTTTGTATGTGTGTCTCTAGTGCGTGTGTTTAAGTGCTTGCTAGTGCACGAACATGCGTTTATTCTAGTTTGTTTTTTTATTTGCCTGTTTGTTTTCTAAAGAAAGAGAGAAAGAAGGTGTAGAGTTAGATGGGTGGGGAATGGGGTGAATCTACCAGGAGATAGAGAAGAAACTGTGATCAGAATATATTGTATGAAAAACTTTATTTTCAATTAAAAATGAGATACATAAGGAGATAATGAATTACTATCTTACAGAAATTTTTTTTAGATTCTTGAATGATTAAACTTTAATCTTATGTATTATAATATAATTCTGTATTCATTATTTATTCATTTAGTCATTCATTCTTTTGAGCACAGTGTATCATTTTTGGATTTAATGCCAAGAATATAATTTAAATTATACCTGAATTTTCCAAGACTCACGGTAAAAATATTACCTTTGAACTTTTTTTTTTTTTTTTTTTTTTTGTCTTCAGACAGATTTGCACTGTATAGCCCTGGCCTGTCTGGAACTCTTAGGGATTAAAGGCGTGGGCTACTACACCCAGGTGTCTTGGAATTTCTTTGTTTGACCTTCAATATTTACTTGGGAACTTTGTTTACGTGGTGACAAACTTTATTCCTGAGTAGATGTAAAAAAAGGAAACAAACATATGTTCACTTGTTATCTAAATTATATCATGCTTTTAATACTCAAGATGTTTCTCTATATTGCTATTATTTGTTTTAGATGTCACTTAAATGTTTCTCAGTATTAGTGTCCAATAATCTTTGTTCCTTTGTAGACTGACAAGGGAGCCCCAATTAATCCACACGAAACTTTAGATCCCCACTTGTTAGTTGTTTGTTTTTTGTTTTATTTTGCCTTTTGCTGACCCTAACATGGAAAATGCAGTTATTTGCAATTTGTTTTTGTTTTATTTTGCTTTGTTTTGTGAGACAGGGTCTAACTATGCCACCCTGGCAATCATGGAACGCACAAAAGTCACCTGCCTCTGCCTTCAAGTGCTGGGATTTAAGATGTACACTTCCACACAAGACCAGCTATTATTTTTTAAAATCAGAATGATTGGATATGTTTTCATGTTATCTTCCAACTAGCATGGCAAAACATTTTATTTAAAGCTATGATTAGCTTTTATAAACTATTATGAAAAGTAGGATCATTTTAACTATCATGTGCTGACTTTTGCCCCACAGCTGAGAGAGAAAGCTAAGACAAATATTTCTAATTTGACTAAGACAGTGAAGAACTTAGATTTACCAAAACTCTCACATTTAATCTTAGATTTTTTTATTTTTCTTACATTTTAAAAAACCACTTACTCATTTATTTTAGACTTGTGTATTATGTGCATATGTGAGGTCAGAAGACAATATGCAGGGGTAACTTCTCTCTTTTTACCATGGGGGTTCTTGGAATTGAACTTAGGACATCAGATTTGGCAGCAATCTCCTCTGCCTGCTGAGCCATCTCACTGGCCTCTATAGTTTTCTTTTATTAGATTGTATTAGATTATTTTCATGAAGTGACAATCTAACATTGAATACATAAAAATAGTTTTTCATTAAGAAACTACACGGTAGTCATTGTGTATAAAAGTTTTTAAAATTAAGATCCTCAGGGTAGTTTGGTTTCGTATACATCAGGATAGTTAATAATCAAGAATCATGGTTTTGCCTCAGGCAGTCAGTTCCTGTACTGGTTAATTAACAGCTATGAAAGTAGCAAGAAGAACATTGTTTTAATTTGCAAGAAGTTTTACACATCCTAGGATCTTCCTAAAGCCCCATAAAAACAGTAAAATTAATCAGAGGATTTTTTTAATGGAAGGATTACTTGTCTTCTGTTAGAGCACTTCATTGCAGAAATCCTCCCTCCAAAAGCTCACAAAGGACCATCTGGGTGGAAATGTTTGCTAGACTTCCAGAGGCAGAAAATTTACTTCATGTAAATTCACGCAATCCATTGCTTCTTACAGACTCCAATAATCCCACTTACTCATTCCCATTAGAATTTCCTTTGGAGATGTGACATTGGTGCCTGAACAAATGGTAGAAAGCTGGAAAACAGATGGCAGACTGTTCAAGGTTAGCAGTGTGGAAAAAACAGCTATAGTTAAAATCTGTGCCTTGTTGACTAGTTTGGTCAATCTATATTTTACCTTTTCTACCTTCCTAATGGGCCTCAAGGAAGTTTCTTACAGAAATAACTGTTAGTTAAACTGTTAGATTAAAACTTGGAAATCAGCTCTAGCTGTCCTTGGAGTGCTTTAGTTGTTGCAGCTGTTTTTATTTTAAACTCTAAAGTGTCATGATTATCTCTTTTTTCATACATTGTGTTATCTAACCAAATGAAGTATTTTATATAATTTCCTATTTAAAGAATATGAAAAGCCGGGGCCGGTGAGATTGCTCAGTGGGTAAAGAATATGAAAAGTAGTGTTAGCCCGTGTAATGTTAGGATTTGTCAGCAGTTGTTTGGGAAACAGTAATTCCAAAGCTGCCATTTCTAAATAATGTGACACATTGGCTCTCCCTATAGTTATTCAATATTCTATTGCACTTCTTATTTCTTTGGAAATTTAGCTATGAGCACACCCATTACAGATAGAAAAGAAGGTAAAGAAGGAGATAATATTGTTTTTCTTGTAACAGACCAAAGAAATGATCTCTGAAAGAATAGACTTAATATTGTTCTTCTTTAACACTCACGAGGAATCTTCATTTTGGCAGACATGGACAGCACTTAGTTCTTTTACTCTCTGGAAGAAGAAATGTTTGGAAAGTGAGTAGACAAGCATATGAAACCAAATCCCATAATGCACAGCATATGTATCTCTAAGTTTGAACTTATCTTTTGTGTTTCTCATAGAAAGAGCTCGCGTTATCATTCAAAGTGTTCAGAGGAGAGACAAACTGGGAAGGCATAGCTTTTCTTCCTTGGAGTTATTTTCCACCAAAGGTGACAAAATTCAACTCATTTGCAATTCATGGATCAAATGACAGAAGAAGTTACGAGGCCCTTTACCCTGTGCCACAGCATGAACTGCAACAAGGGCAAAAACCTGATTTGTAAGTAGAAAATAAGTGGAGGTGCACTCCAAGGACAGAAGTTCAGGAATTAGTTTTGTTTTGTTTGTTTTTCGAAACAGGTTTTTCCGTGTGTCCCTAGCTGTCATGGAACTTGTCTATAGACCAGGCTGGCCTCAGACTCTGAAATCCACCTGCCTCTGCCTCCTGAGTACTGGAATTAAAGGCCAACCCCCCACCCCCACCCCCCCCACCCCCCGTGGGAAGTTCTTAGTAGAGCAGTAGTAACACTTGGTAGTTGATGATGACGTATGTGGGAGTACATAGGAAGGGCCCTGTGTTCCCTCATGACCCTCAACTTTTAACCAAGATAGATCATCTCATTACTTTCAGCAAAGCACTTAGTCTTTCCTGATTATATAGGAAGAGTATTAACCAATGAGTGTACATCAACTGATACTGATATGGCTTCAAATTAATTTATGATCCTCTTCCTAGATATAATAGCCAGAGGAATCTGTGTTTTGTGGTGTGGATAGAGGGGTTATGATCTCTTTTCTTTGTTACTAAAGAACTTGTACTTAGTCATGTCTCTGTTCTCTTGGTTGCCTCATTAGAATAAGAACATCAACTATGCTTCTAGGCAACCATGCTTGTGATAAAATGACTGACTCCTTAATTGGTAAATGACATCTGCATTAACTAATTCTGATTGACCTATAAATATATGCTGGAGACACTGTGACTTAGGGATTCCTTTTTAACAGTTATGTTATAGGTGGGGACTCAAGTCTATGCCCTCTGAGTGGTTGTCAGCAGAGGTCGAGGCTCCTGTGAGGCAGCAGATACTTAGGCCAAAGTACCTTCACCACTTGTCCCATTTTAGTTTTGTCTCCTGGCATCTGAACCTGTCATCTAGGAAGAACATAGCTTTTAGTGAGCCTCCTGAATGCTTCATGCATTGCTGCAAGGACTTAGGGAGGAAACTCAATGCTCTCCTAGGGCAAACTTTGGTGCCTGCTGTCTGTCTCTTAGTTACTCAGTGTGGTCAGCACTGCAGAGTCTGGATGTTCAGCAGAGCCTAGCAAAGTCATCCTAGTGGGCAGCATCACGCTTGCTAGACATTCCTGCCTTTTTACCCTTAGGATATGACACCATCTTTCTTCCCCATGTTTAACTTCTCTTGCTTTTACTTGACTCACTTTTCCCTTCATTTCTTCTAGCAGATGCCTGTATTCTGCTTGACACACGTAAACATCTACTTTTGCCTTTCTCTCCAGTCCTGACTCTTTCTGCCTAGTTCTTTCTCTTTTTCTGTGCCTCTTCCTTCACTGTTGATCCTTAGCATCTTATTCTGGGGTTTATTGATGTAACTCCAAACTGGTTCATCCTGGCCAGATGCGCAGAAAGGAATAGAAATCTAGGTGCCACTGACTGAGAACCATCATACCAAGGTGATGTGCCACTCTGGCTTTTCATTTGCTAGTACCTTCCCAGGGAAGAATGAATGTACATTAGCTAGCAGGGATGCATGGTAGAGCAATTTCCTAGAGCTCAGAGCTTTACTGAAGCATAGATAAAGCCCTTCTTTGCTCGTTAAGCCACAAGAGAACACTTTAAGATAATAATGGCTTTTCTAGAAAGAAAACAAGATTATCACTCTTCTATGTTAGCCTCCTTTACATTGGCAAAGGGAGAATACACATCTGTCTCTGTCCTTTATTCACCAGAACTTATCAAAGTTTGAATATAAGAACATGTTCAAGAACTTATGTTGTAGAATATTATTTTAAGGTGTGTTACTTTTGTTTATATTGCATTTGTTTAACTCCATGAAGCTGTGTTACTTTGCCTGTCTAAAACACCTGATGGTCTAATAAAGAGCTGAATGGCCAATAGCAAGGCAGGAGAGAGAAATAGGTGGAGCTGGCAGGCAGAGAGGATAAATAGGAGAAACCTGGGAAGAAGAAAGAGCAAGAGAACAAGGAGAGGAGGACATCAGGGGCCAGCCACCCAGCCACACAGCCAGTCACAGAGTAGGAGTGAAAGTAAGATACACAGAAGTAAGAAAAGGAAAAAGCCCAGAGGCAAAAGGTAGATGGGATAATTTAAGTAAAGAAAAGCCGGTAAGAAACAAGCCAGGCTAAGGCTCGGCATTTATAATTAAGAATAAGCCTCTGTATGTGGTTTATTTAGTGGGCCCCCCAAAGGGCAAAAACAAACAACTACAAACTTATGGTTGGTTTACATCTAAAATGAGTTAGACGTGTATGTGTGTGTGTGTGTGTGTGTGTGTGTGTGTGTGTAGATGTAACGGTCTTATTAAATAAGAAACACAGAGCCAAATGCAGAGTTAAAAGCCCAAGAGGTCAGAGCAGTAGCTCAGAGCTGAGACTAAACCCGCCTTCTTACCACCCGCTGCCGCTGCCATCCTTCCCCTTAGAAAAAGAGACATACTTCCTGTGTGTCTGTCTTTTTATTGACTTTCTGTTCTGCCTTCTCATTGGTTGTAAACCCAACCACATGACCTCCTCGTCACTGCCTGTCTATACATACCTCCAAGTATCTATGGTTGGTATTGAGATTAAAGGCATGTGTCTCCAAGCTGGCTATGTCCTTGAACACACAGACTCTGCCTGCCATGTGATAGGATTAAGGGCATGTGCCACCACCACCTGGCTTCTGCTATGGCTTGCTATTAACTCTGACCTCCAGGCAACTTTATTTATTAACACACAAATAAAATAACATTTCAGCACAAATGAAATATCACTCTGTGTGTGTGTGTGTGTGTGTGTGTGTGTGTGTGTGTGTGTGTGTGTGTATACACACATGCAGATAGAGTCCCAAAGATACCTTCATGTGTGGTTCTTCTGGAATACTGCCCACATCATTTGAGACAGGGTCTCTCATTGGCCTGGAGCTTACCAACAAGAGCAGGCTGGCTGGCCAGTAAGCCGAAGGGATATTTCTGTCTCTACCTTCCCTGCACTGGGATTACAAGCAAGGACTGCTACACCTGGTATTTTTATGTGTGTTGTGAGGATTGAATTCATGTTTCCTTAGCAGATACTTTGCTGAGCCCCATGAGAGCTGGTATTTACCTTTCCCTGAGCCGTGAGGGATCTATGTGTAGAACTGAAAAAGACTGCTTTGAAATATGGGTGAATGTTTTCAGAATGGAGTATTTGATAGCTACAATGAGAAAATTGTACATAGAGAATACATTTAACAATTGTTATTCCTTAAAATGGAATGTTGTACTATCACCAATGTGCAAAACAAATAGTTCTATAGGACCACCATTTCACAAATGCATAATTCATTTCAATTTCTTCCTTTCCTTACTTTTAGCCATCGTCTAGAATATTTCAAGCCTTTCAGTTTTAACACACTGCTTGGAGAAGAATGGAAGCAGCCAGAGTCAGACTTGTGGCTAATAGAGAGACCTGATATGTCGGAGTAGATAACCAACTATGTCAATCATTTCTCCTCTGTACCTCCTAAGGTAATCTAATAAGATACATAAACACATTTCAACAATGAACATTTTAGCAGAGGTCACTGAAATGTAGTATCTCTGTGGCAAACTGTATATTTAACAAAGAAATAGAAACTATGTGTAATGTAAAATAATTTTTACTTAAATATCCTGTCCATCCTTGAAACTAGTAGAAAACAATCTATTTCAGTTGATGAGACAGTCTATATCTGCTAAGACATCGAGATAGAAGAGTTATTTAACTAGCTATTTTTACCATGTAGGGAGAAATGAGATAGTCTTGATCTGAAAATAGAGTTGATACTTCTACTTACACATAAGTGACATTTTCTTTTCTTTTGTTTTTTTTTTTTTCCAAGACAAGGTTTCTCTGTGTAGTTTTTGTGCCTGTCCTGGATCTCGCTCTGTAGACCAGGCTGGCCTCGAACTTACAGAGATCCATTTGGCTCTGCCTCCCGAGTGCTGAGATTAAAGGCGTGAGCCGCCGCCACCACCCGGCAAGTGACATTTTCTTAATGCCTTTAAGCAAGATATCAGAAACATTCATTTGATTTTTGAAGCATCAAACATTCCTGGTTGAAGACAGACCCCAGTATAATAAAGCAATACCCTCCTCTCACATAAATGGATCATGCAGACACACAGCTGCAGTGTTCTACCAACAGCTGCAGAATGAACTTTACTTTCTGGGGCTCGTGGAACACTTTCCAGAATAAGACCAGTAACATGTTTGTTGCAATTCAGATGGCTGTAGCTGCTTGGGTTTATTTATATCAGAAGACTTTTAGATCTGATAGTTCAGCCAAGTGGCACACAGCACAGTCAGCATACATGCAAAAATAATAGCTTTTCCACACTTCAATAACCAGCCGCTGAGAAGGAAATCAGGAAAGCAATCCCATTTACAGCAAAAAGAATATCTAGGAACAAGCCTTGTGCATTAGTTACTTTTCTCATTGTAGTTACAAGATAATTAACAAAAGCAACTCAGTGAAGGAAGGTTTTATATTGGCTCACAGTGTGAGGATACAGTCCATCGTGATGAGGATAACATGACAGCAAGAATATGAGGTGGCTGGTCACATGGTGTCTACAGTCAGAAAACAGAGATGAATTGTGATGTTCAGCTCACTCTCTTATTTTCATTCAGCCCTGGATCCTAGCCCATGGAGTGACACAGCCCTCATTCTGGGTCTGTTTTCCATTAGCAAACCTCTTTGAAAACACACTCACAGACATACTAGGAATGCAGCTCCTAGGTGAGTCTACCTCCAGTTAAGCCGACAGTGAAGACTAGTCATCATATCTTGCTGAGGTGGTGAAAAGCTTTTATAATGAAAGTTACAGAACATTGGAGAAAGAAATTGTATTTTTTTTTTTTTTTTTTTTTTTGGTTTTTCGAGACAAGGTTTCTCTGTGTAGCTTTGTGCCTTTCCTGGAACTCGCTTTGGAGACCATGCTGGCCTCGAACTCACAGAGATCTGCCTGCCTCTGCCTCCCGAGTGCTGGGATTAAAGGCAGGCGCCACCACCACCACCCGGCCTGGAGAAAGAAATTGAAGAAGACACTAGAAGATGAAAAGACATTCCATGTTCTTGTATCCACAGATTTAGTATCGGGGAAATGGCCATATGAAAACAAGCTACCTTTTTGGAACCCACTACCTATGGTGGAACACATTGCACAGCCTTAATGCAGGGGGAAGTGCTTGGACCTGCCTCAACTGAATGTACCAAGCTCTGCTGACTCCCCATGAGAAGCCTTACCTTTTTTGGAGGAGGGAGTAGGGGTGGGTTGGAAGGGGAATGTTGGGGGGCGGCAAGAGGAGGGAAGAGGGGGGATCTATGGTTGGTATATAAAATTAATTAAAAAAATTCTTAATAGAAAAAAAGAAAACAAGCTACCTAAAAGTTTATTTGGTCATATTCAAAATTTGAATGCCATTCTTCAGACAACTCGAACAATAACCTAAAATGTGTATGGAAACACAAAAGACCTATAATAGGCAAAGATGTCCTAAGTAAAGAACATTATTGGAAGTCTACCAATACCTAATTTCAAGTTTTACTATAGAGCTGTTGTAATAAATGGGACTAGCACAAAAGCAAGCAGTAGACCATGGACTAGACTAGAGAATCTCAAAATTATCCTACACAGCCATAGTTACCTAAGTTTTGGCAAAGGAATAAAAAACATTGATGAGAAAAAGTTTCCTAAAGTGTTGCTGGGAAAATAGGATATTTGCACATAGAAGACTAAAGCTAGATCCCCATATCCCACCCTGTACATAAATCAACTCCAAAACTTTAATGTAAGATCTGAAACATTGAAATGGATAGAAGAAAACATAAGGAAAATACTTCAAGATGTAGATATAGGCAGTAACTTCAGGAATACACTCCATTGTCTCTGGAAATAAAAGAATCAACAAATTGGATTTTGCTGTGGGATGTTCTGTATGGCAAATGTGTTGCTCTGATTGGTTAGTAAATAAAACACTGATTGGCCAGTAGTCAGGCAGGAGGAAGTATAGGCGGGACAAGGAGGAGAATAAAACTGGGAAGTGGAAGGCTGAGTCAGAGACACTGCCAGCCGCCAACATGACAAGCAGCATGTGAAGATGCCGGTAAGCCACAAGCCACATGGCCAGGTATAGATTAATAGAAATGGGTTAATTTAAGCTATAAGAACAGTTAGCAAGAAGCCTGCCACGGCCATACAGTTTGTAACCAATATAAGTCTCTGTGTTTACTTGGTTGGTCTGAGCGGCTGTGGGACTGGCAGGTGATAGAGATTTGTCCTGACTGTGGGCCAGGCAGGAAAACTCTAGCTACAGGATTTCATCAAATTAAAGATCTGCACAAGAAAGGAGATAATAAAGTGAAGACAAAGTCTACAGCAGGGGAGAAAATCTTGGCTAGCTACTCTTCCTCAGAGGCTTAATATCCAGCATATACAAAGAACTCAGAAAAAACACCAAAGCTAGGCAGGAAAGCTCAATCAGTAAGTGAACAGATCATCTACACAGTTCTCAAAAGAATTTGTACAGCTAATAATTATAAAATAAATGCAGTGTCTTTAGGTATTAGGAAAATGCAAGCTAAAACTGCTTTGAGATTTCATCATATCCCAGTAAAATGGCTATCCTCAAGAAAGTAACAAACTTTGGTGAAGGTGAGGAGGAGAAGGAACCCTTATTCACTAATCATGGGAATCTATAGTAGTACTGTCAACTGTGGAAATCAGTATGGAAATTCCTCAGAAACATTAAAAATAGAGCTACCATATGATCCAGCTCTACTAGTTCTAAGTACATCCCCCAAGGGAATCTGAATCGGCATAATGCAGACACCTGCATAGCTGTGTTCATCACAAGATGCAAGCTATGGCATCAGTCTGGGTGTCTGTCTACTGATGGATGGATTAAGAAAACATATACACACACACACACACAAGACAGAGACAGAAATGACATACCGTTGAGCCATAAGAACAAAATTATGTTATCTTCAGGAAGATGGAAGTAAATTAAGTCAGACTCCAAAGATAAGTAGCTCATGTTTTGTTGTTGTTGTTTGTTTTTCGAGACAGGGTTTCTCTGTGTAGCTTTGTGCCTTTCCTGGAACTCACACTGTAGCCCAGGCTGGCCTCAAACTCAGAGATCTGCCTGCCTCTGCCTCCCGAGTGCTGGGATTAAAGGCGTGCGCCACCACTGCCTGGCTAGTAGCTCATGTTTTTCCTCATCTATGAAAGTTAAAGAAAACAAAACATCTGGATATAATACAGGAGATTATAAGAAAAGTGGAAGAGGATTTGAGGAGAGGGGAGGGATGTGAAAAAAGATGTGGGGAATAAAAATGTCCACAGTTGTATATATGTATGTGTCTGCCAAAGTAAAATCCACTCTTCTGTGTAATTTATGTACAAATTAAAAGTCTAGAACTCTCAAACTTTGTACTGTGTTTCAGAGCTTGCCTTTTAATAGATCTGTGAACTTCTGCATCATTCTTAGTCCTTCTCAACATCATTATCTCAGAGGCCATGCTCAGAGAAGGTAAAGTTTATCACTTACATGGACACTTTCTTGTCTAGTCAACAGTATGGTTTCCCCATCCCTTCTCCCCTTTAAAAAAGATTATTCATTTGTGTGTTTGTTTGTTGTTACTGTATATGCATGCAGAAGACCAGGAGGCCAGAAGAGGCCCTGGGATTCCCACAGCTGCAGTTACAAGCAGTTGTGAGCTGCCTGATGACATGGGTGTTGATAATTGATCTTAGGTCCTTTACAAGAGCAGCAAGTGTTCTTTACTACTTTTCCATTTCTCCAACCCCTCCCATCTTCTTTAATAACAGAAGTTGGATTTTTAGAAGCTTTACTTAGAAATGTTATTTCCACAAAAACAAAACATCCCCTCATTTTCCCAGTGTCTTTTGCAGGTAGACATGGCCATGGAATGGTTTGTGTCAATGAGATGTACAGTCATGTGCTGTATAACAATATTTTGATGAGTAGCAGACTTTGGTCCTACTTCCAAAAAGTTCTAATTGAGCTGAGATGTGATGTCTTCTAATGATAACATAGCCATTCTAATATTATGGTACAATATACTATATGTCTGTGGTGATGTTTATATGACGAGGCCTACTAAACTGCTGGTTGTATCAAAATACAACAACATGGTTGTGTACAGCACAAAATGCTTGATAATGATGATAAATGACTGTGTGACTTGTTCATGCATTTATTATACTGTACTTTTTTTTTTCTTTTTTTTTCCAAGACAGGGTTTCTCTGTGTAGCTTTGCGCCTTTCCTGGAACTCACTCTGTAGCCCAGGCTGACCTTGAATTCACAGAGATCACCTGGCTCTGCCTCCCGAGTGCTGGGATTAAAGGCATGCGCCACCACCGCCTGGCAGTATACTGTACTTTTATGATCATTTGGAGCATATTCCTTCTTATTAAATTTTCTATGGTAGAATAATATGCTTTGTTATGCTAGCAACAGCTTTAAGCAGCTCATTTTTTTGGACATTTCTTGATAGCATCAATAGGTTATATAAAGTGATACTGAGTTTACATAAGTGTACACTATAAACTTGCACTTGAGACAAAAATCAAATATAGACATGTCTCTGAGAAAATGCCCATGCTATTAAGTGACATGAGGCTGTATTTGGTCTTAAATGGGGCTTGAAGAAAGTTATTTCAATCTGGGGGTATATATACCTCAGTGATAGAGTGTATAGCTAGTCTTGTGCAAGACCCCCCATTTCAATCCCTAGCATGGTGAAAAGAAAAACATTGAAAGAAGAGAGCTTTTCTTTTTTTTTCTTTATTAAGAAATTTTCTACTTACTCCACATACTATCCACAAATCCCCCCTCCTCCCTCCTCCCACCCCCAGCCCTCTTTCCAAGCCACCCACATCCTCACATCCCCCAAATCGAGGTCTCCCATGGGGAGTCAGCAGAGCCCAGCACACTAAGCCTAGGCAGGTCCAAGCCCCTTCCCACTGCACCAAGGCTGTGCAAGGTGTCACACCACAGACACTGGGTTCCAGAAGCCTGCCCATAGACCAGGGAAGATCCCAATCCCCCTGCCTGGGTGCCCCCCAAACAGTTCCAGCCTAGCAAATAACCTAGCTGTCATTATAGAGCCTTTGTCCAGTGACTGATGGAGGCAGATACAGAGATCCATGGCCAGGCACCAGGCTGAGCTCCGGGAATCCAATTGATGAGAGAGAGGAGGGATTCTGCAGGCGAGGGACATCGAGATCATGATGGGAGGACGTGCAGAGATGACCGGCCACACTAGTGGAAGCCCGTTAACTGTGGACTGGTGGCTGTGGAGCCCCCATGGGACTGGACTAGGCCCTCTGGATACGGAAGACGGTTGTTTGGCTCGAAGAGAGCTTTTCTAAAACCTAAGTCAGTACTTTTTATCCTGTGACTTTACACAGCATATGTGACACTATGGAGACAACCCAGGGAGAGTATAGTCAGAAGACAGAGGAAGCACAGCAGTGTTTTGTGTCATAGCTGGACTGCCTACCAGCAGACTTGTTGTTACATGGAGAATAAAAAGAATAAATGTTTACCATATTTAGTCAAATGAAATCCCTAACTTCCAGTTAGAAAATGTAAGTTGGGTTCTCTTCCTAAAGTCACATACAGTTTCACTTAATATCTCTCTCATTTAACATTGTATGAAACATTCTAGCCAGTTCCATGAAGGGAGGAAATAGGAATAAAAGACAGGTGTTATAAGAAAATGAGTTAAAATATTTTCAGATGTATTGTTTATATTTAAATGTTTATACTTTAAGAGCTGGGGATGCAGCTCAGTGGTAGAACACTTATCCATCATGTCAGAAGCTCTGGGTTTAATTTCTAGCATGATAATAACATATAATAAACAATCAAATCAGTGGCTGGATGGATGACTCAATAGTTAAGAACACTCACTGTTCTTGCAGAGGACCCAGGTTCAGCTCCCAGCACCCACATGATGGCTCATACCATCTGTAACTTCAGTTCCAGGTGATCTGATGCCTTTTTCTGGCCTCTGAGAGTACCAGGTACATACATGGTACACACATATATATGTGAAGGCAAAACATTCATACACAAAATATTAGTGCAAAATAAATGATTATAGTTTATAGAAAATTGAGGTATTTACAACAGATTTCTATAAATGAAAGTGAATTTAGCCAAGTTGTATCAACACATAGTCAATGTATGAGTATATATTGTATTTCTGTCTATTATAAACAGTTCAGAGTTCAAAACTGCTTATCACAGAATCAAAACATGAAAAAACCAAGACTAAATTTAATCAAAATGTACAGAACCTCTATACTGATTAGAATCAATATTATTAAAATTTATTTGAATTGACTTGTAGATTCTGTGTAGGACCAGTTAGAAATCTCTAAAGATTTTTGTGTTGTCTGTTGGTGGAAGAAAGGACCTGACAAATGGATTAAAAAAATTGTATGGCAATAAAGAGGGATTAGAGTTGGAGGATTTATATCACCGTAGTTCAACACTTTTTAATAAGCTTTGGTCATGAACACAAAATGACATTAAGTTTATACAAATACATCAGTAAAATAACAAATGTCAGATACTGTGAAAACATGGGGAAAACAAACTTTGATTCCTGTTTAAACATCATATTCCAGAATTAATGTAAATGTGACTGTTGAGATAAAAAAAATCATAAAATCTTTATAGACCAGGATGGACATTTTTTCCAAAACAATCCACCAAAATCACTAAACAAAAAGACAAATTGGACTTCATCAAAATTAAAAACTGATGAACCAGGGAAGTTTTTCAGTCAGTAAAAGTGTTTGCTGCACAAACCTGCTAACCTGAATTCAATCCCCAGAACACATATTAGTTTTTAAGTGTGGGGACAGACTAGAGAGATAGCTCAGTGGTACTTGCTGCTTGCCGGGTGGTGGGGGCGTACACCTTTAATCCCAGCACTTGGGAGGCAGAGGCAGGCAGATTTCTGTGAGTTTGAGGCCAGCCTGGGCTACAGAGTGAGTTCTAGGACAGGCTCCAAAGCTACACAGAGAAACCCTGTCTCGAAAAACCAAAAAAAAAAAAAAAAAAAAAAGTACTTGCTGCTCTTCCAGAACAACCAGGTTTAGTTCTCAGTTGCCATATTGGGCAGTTCACAACCACTTTCAGCTGCAACTCAAGGGGATCTGACAACAGCGTGCCTCTGCAGGCACTTTTGTACACATGCACATTAAAAATAAAAACAAAACCTTAAAAACTGGATACAGTGGCACACATCTGTAATCCCAACATTTCTGTCTGTAAGGTGGTAGGTATAGACAGGAGTATTGGCCAGAGCCTTGTGGGCCAGCTAGCATGGAGTATGCTGTGCAGCAGTAGCAAGAATAGACCCTGCCTCAAGGTGGAAAATGAGAACTGAATCCCACAGATTGTCCTCTGACCTTTACATGTATGTCCTCACTCATAGACATGAATGCACACAATACATAAGTAAAACTAAAGAAAAAATTCATGCTCACCAATATCCTCTCTTAAGGAAATGAAAAGGAAGCTATAGATTGGGAAGGAAAACATAATATGTATGTAATAATATAATAAACGTATACATATATGTATATACATGTATATCTAACAAAATGATTTTTATCCAGACCATCCAAAGAACTGGAAAACTAGAAAAATGACAAGGCAGTAAAAATGCAAAGACTTGAACATACATACACTTTATTAAAGAAAATATACAGAAAGTTGTATTATTGAAAGGCTCTTAACCTTAGTCATTGCCTTAGTCAGTGTTCTATTTCTGTGAAGAGACACCATAACCATGGCAACTCTTATAAAGGAAAGCATTTAATTGGGGCTTGCTTACAATTTCAGAGGTTTAGTCCATTATCAGTATGGCAGGAAACATGAATGCATACAGGCAGACATGGTGTTGGAGAAGGAGCTGAGAGGTTTTTTTTATTACATTCTGACTGCAGTTTTCCCTCCCCCTAGTCTCCTCCTACCACCTCTCCTTTCCTCTTGGTCCCCTCCATCTCCTCTCCAAGGGGCATCAACCAAATACGGCATAACAAGCTACAATAAGACCAGGCACACATTCTCGCATCAGGGCTGGGAGTTTTACATCTGGATCCACAGACAACAGGAAGAGAGAGTCACTGGACCTGGCTTGTGCTTTTGAAACCTTAAAGCCCACCCCAAGTGACACATTTCCTCCAACAAGGCCACATCTAATCCTTAAATAGTGCCACTCCCTAAGCATTTAAATATATGAACCTATGAGGGCCATTTGTATTCAAAGCCCCACAATCATCAAAGAATTCTGAACTAAAATCACACAAAAGTAAAAACAGTGGCTAAACTTTTAAAAACATTGTTGACTGATAAACACAAAGCAGATTCACTGTGCATTACTGGTTGTCAGCCTGATAACCACTGCTGAGACAAAACACCTAGCACACAACATGTTAACTGAAGCAGGCTCATTATTTAGGCAACAGGGGCAACAGGAATCTA